TGCTGGAATACATGCAGTATTCTATAAAGAGCCTGAAAAGCTCATGAAGACTGGAATGTTGGAGAACATCTATACATTCAACCTACTTGGTGAAGCCACCTTTAAACATCCATAATTCCAGTCCAAATCTACTATGTACAAAGATGTTAAGAAACGTGTTTATGAGCAGGAAACTGACATCTTTGAAAAGATTTGGCTGTTCTATTCTGGGAATAACAACAGAGAAGGCTCTAATGAAAATAGGCTCTCTAGTCTCCAAGTGAATAATGGGACCCGTGAATGGTCAAGACCTATTAGCACTTCGACAAGATGGTAAAGCCCTTACCACTATCTTCCAAGCTCTGAATCATAGAGGCAGAGATTTGTAGCTGGGTGGTCAGAGTACCCAAGATGGCCAAGCGTAGGCTTTCATAGGCCTTCTGCTTGTTACATGTTACGTATCCCACGCGTGCTGTAGATATATGAACAAGTAATCTGTATTACATAACTTTTTGGCAAATTGCCTGCCTTGTGTGACGTGAATGTAAGGTTGTAAAAGATCTCAAAATTATTCCTGATGCCATTAAGATAGTAGAGAAAACCCCACAGCTCCACATCTTTTCTTCAGGCTTCTAGAATGGTGAGTGAAACTTCCTGGCCTTGACCAGTGGCAGACAGTGGCAATAACTAATTGGTCAAATATCCCTAAAAATAAGATAGGCAGTGTACTGTGGTGCTGCTTGATGTATGTAAGCAGAAACATAGTCCACTGCAAAGCCGAAACCTAACTGCAGCCAGTGAGTCAGTCTCTTGTCCAGTTCCTAGACTTAAACCAGTTCACAGGATCACAGCTTATTGAACAAGGAAGACTTATTGCTACAACAAAGGACTCTGCAACACTAATACAAGTACCTAAAATAAATCTTCATCTAAATTTTCTGCAGTCTGAATCACAGTCATTTACAAATGTGAATGTGGATTTTGGAGAAAGGAACAACCAGGTACACTCAAAGTTGTTAGGTAATATATCTGCCTTTTCATTACACTTCAGAAACCTAAAATATCACCGGGAACAAAGGTCATAATGGGAGCTACCAGAGATCAGGGGATAGATGCATCTATGGCTGAATCTTTCTCATGAAGAATACAAAATGGAAATATTTAACTGACCACACTTTCACTCAGGCTCCCAGAGTCAAGGGGAAGTTCCCTCCACACTAACTTAGAGGTTATTGTGAATGTTGCTTGATTTGGGAAAGTGCTTACATGCATCCACCCACTTACCTTGCTAATTCAGCAAATATAAAAGCCAAATGGATCCTGGAGAATGACAGATTATACCAACCACGTGATTATATCAATTACTGAATCAGTTTCCGATGTGTTATTTTCATACCAATCAATACACTTTTGCCAGCTGATTAGCATCTTTTGACTGGGCAAATGATTTTTTCCTTGATTTTCTCCATTCACCCAGTACACCGAGGCCTCATCAAATCTGCCTATATTGTCTCCTGCTGTAATATTTTTTATAGAAAACTGTATCTTTGTGTATGTGTGTTGGGACCAAACCCAAAGCCTCATATATACTAGGCAAGTACTCTACCACTGAGCCCCAGCATTGAATCTTCTTGGAAGTTCTTAAAATACCACACTGGTCCTTTACATTGATAACATTTTCTCATTGAACTTGATGAGCAAGAAGTAGCTGTCAAGAACAGTAAAGGTCTCATATATTTTTCCCACTTGCAGGCTGGTTTCATAAATGCTGCCAGGAGACATCATAGTCCTCAGCGAGAAACAAATGACTTCATTAGCCACAGGAAAAGCAGGAGCTGGCCTGTTAGCATGTTCATTCACATGGGTTTCCCTGTTCTCAAGGCTCATGGAGGCAATGCAAAGGGCCCGTGATGAATGCCACACATCCATGGTGTATTGCATTAGAGGAAAGGAACACTGAGCTGGAGATTTGACTGTTTTTATAATACTATGCCTCAGCAGGAATATGACACATTACGCTTGATAATAGCTCTCTGAAAAAAATCCTGAAAAATAGCTTGGGTAAAAAGTCAAGGCTTTGCACCCTTGGCAAAACCAGCAAGAATGTGGAGGCCTACTCAGGGCCCATGGTGATCTGTGTCCAAAACCAAGTGCTCTAGATGCCAGTAATGAAACAAATGTAAGCCAGAGGGCGGGCAATAAACTGTGACAAAGTTCTGCAATGATGTAACATTTTTAGAGACGCGGTGATCTTGAAATTCCTTCTAAAGAAAGAAGCAGCTGCTGTATTTTATATCACTGGGATGACTCTTTAGATTTTGGAGGCAATTATTTGTGTACATCTCACCTATACATTTATCTGGTAAGCTAGAAGGCTGTGTTTTTGATCGGGCCCAGACCAAGAAAGGCCCCTGCAGCAGGTCCACATCACATATGTAGCTCTGCTACTTGTACCCTATGGCATGAGGCTTGTTTCCAAGACAGTGAGATATGGATTAGCTCTGGAAAGCTTCCATAGAAGTAAAAGCATGAAGTTCTAGGTTTGAGAACAAGGGCATGTCTTTCTCTGCGGACATGTATCTGCCATTTGAAAAGTATTTTCTACTAGGTTATGGTAGATTCTAAATGTTTAATCATAGGACAAGTGGCTATGTGATCCAAACTTCCAATTGCCAACTATATTACCTAATCTAGGATCAGCTAAGTATGGCCTGAGGGTCGAATCTGGTCTATTACCTTTTATAAACAGTTTTACTATTTTCAATTTACTGTGTCAATTCACTTACATACTGTCTAGCTGGTTACAATGGCAGATTTGTGACAGAAATCATTGCCTGCATAACCTAAAATATTTACTCTTTGGCTCTTTACAAAGAAGTCTGCCGACCTAGGATCTAAAGATCTATACAACTAGATTTAACAAGCAGCATTCCATTATCAAGCAGAAGTGGCATATATAAACCAAGGCCATGCAGATCCTAAAAATACAAACAAAAGAAGCAACCCAGATTCCTATACACTGTATTTTCTACTATTTTGTTGTCTTGCTCTCAAACTGTACCAAAGGAAAGCTGGGGATTTCATGAACTAAAAGTCTTGGTTTTGGATAGATCTGTCTGATTGGTGAAATGTCAATGGAACTGTATGGCAGCCTCTCCTGAGAGATGGGTAGAAAGCCTATTGAAGATGTTAGATAGCATATCCGGTTATCCAGTTCATAAGGAAGACACTGCCAAAGTAAAGTTCCATGCTGATTCACAGATAACAGATAACAGGCTGGCCAACTGAGTTCTGGAAGAATTAAAATGGAAATTAGTGGCAGGATGGTCTGAGGAGACATGTGCAAAATGGCTTGTCAAAACAGGTAGAGGAAGTTCAAATTCATCTCATGTAAATACCTATCAGAGAACATTCAATGACGAAGAATGTTCGTCATTCTTCGAAGACGCTCAACAATCAAGTAAAGAAGACAACCTGTCCTGTGGAATCCATTTACATTGTTCACTTAGCACATTTGAATTAGCCATGGCAGCAGGAATAGAGGCTAACAATGGGCTCAAACATGGTCACCCTGACATGGTTTATCTAATACACCACAGCTAAGTCCCCAGCTTGCTAATGGAAGCCAGTGCTAAACCCCCAATGTAAGTCTACTCATTCTCCAGTGGGATCTGCTTACCTGTGGTATGCTGTTACTTCACAACTTTTTCTCTTCATGCCAGAAACAGTATTTTTGCCTGTCTAGGATAAAAGCACTTTCTGAGGATAGACTGTGGTGCCTAATCCCATTATGTATGGATTTATTGGAGGCTCCCTCAATGAAATTGGTGATGTTTTTCAAAATATGTCAAATATTCTGTTAGTCTTCCTATCTTCAATAGTAGAAGGTTGTTTCTCTTGCATCCAGAATGAAATTAATGATTCACAATATAATATGGAAGAAGCGATGCAGTATTTCTTCCAAGATTGGGTTTTGAAAAGACTGATCTTAAATTCTGAGTTGTTTTCACTGTCTTTTAGATTCTTTCGGAGGGAGAAGAGAGGAAGGGGGTGGGGCTGAAAAGCTGAAACATGTGTTTCCCTGAAAATAAGACTTACCTGGAAAATAATCAGCCTTGAATACTAGAGATTAAAAATGTCAGACCCAGCCTATACTTCCCTTACCTCCCATTACAGTTACCCACTGAGCAAGAGAATAGTGAGGTATAATCTGCATGACTCTGGTAATAAGACTGAAAAATTGATCTCTAGTTACCCATGCTGAGACTGCAACCCTAATTAACAGCTGGACTTCAATCTCATGAAAGACCTTGAACCAAAACCACCAGCTATACAACTTCTAGATGCCTGACATTCAGACTTGTGAAACAGTACACACCTGCTGTTTTAAGCCAAGTTTGGTATAATTTGTCAGACAGCAGTAGATTTAGGTATCACACATAACACTGCCTAATGATCAGAAGACTCATTTCATAGAAAAGGACTCAAGGCCGTAGAATTTACTGGCTTCCAACACTCAGAAGCAGCTGCCCTGATAGAACTGAAAATGGCCTGCTAAGGGGCCAGATGGACCCACTGGCTTGCAAGGTTAGGGTACAGTCTTCCAGCATACAACTGACCCCTTAAGCCAGTGGTCTCTTTTCCAAGGTGAGAATGTATGTTTCTGGGAGTTAGAGGTAAGGCTGCTCATTCTCAGTCTTACACTGAATAACTCATTTCATTCATGGAATTTTCTGAACTTAGACTTCCCTTCAAAATCAGAATATGACTATTTCAAGAAAAATTGTATCATGAATAGATGAACTTATATTAGACACTTAAAAACTGTTTGACAGTTTACAAATTTAATATATAAAGTATTTTAAAATAATATGTAATTTATGAGAAAAAGTTTTAAAAATGTGCCCCAAGATAAACAGGTTTTCCATCTGTTCATGGTCTTTGCATTCAATTTTTACAGAGGCATGCAGGGTACGCCATTCCCATGCTGTGAAAATGTAATTCAATAAAACCTAGATATGTTTTTATTAGGACCAAAGAACTTTCTATTTATTTTAAATATCAAAATAACACAAGGAACTAATTCAATATACAAGACACTTCCTATTCTTCACAGAGAACTGAATTTTTCTATAAAGACATTTATACTTAAGAAACATGAGACAAACAAAATAACTATTAAAACTCACAAGATACTTCGACACATGGTTGACAATGATGAATTTTGATATTTTAGATTTTCTTTGTAATTGCTTTTAAAGTGTTCTTAATTAAAAACAAAAATTATGATCTGAGACTAAAGGCAAGTTCAAAAGCATTTCTACTTTAATGTACACCATAAACCCCCTTAATCATAACATTTATTACACAGCATGGAGGAGCTATATATCCAGCTTTGTATCGGTTTTTTTTGGCAGTCACACTCATCCAATGTAACCGTTTTATCTATAGGGCTAAGAAAAAGTCTGATTGTTAGACGGAATAAAAATGTCATAATTACACACAGTACACTGACTGACTGTAATGCAAGCAGGAATATCAAGCAGAGGCTGAGTAATGATGATATGTGTACATGCTCTGCAGAAAGTGTTTTAGAATCTCCAACAGTAATACAAGCACTGCAATTACTGTTTTAAAAATCTAATTCAAAAAAGAGGTTATATTCATTGTTATATGAACTTTATTGTCTAAGTAAAACCCTTAATTTCTCTGTACTTAAGTGGCTGCAGAGAATTAATTAAAATTGTGGGATTTTTTTAAGTCACAATTAAGATCAAAACACAGCAAGTTGAAAACATGAAGGGTAAGCAAATCTAAGAACTCTATCAAAACCATCTTTTTCTTATCTTTTACACAACCTAATTCTGTTATTTCTATTTTATTAATGCTAGAGCACAAAGCATGCTAATATTGTAGGGACAAAGAATCTTGAGTAAAAATATTTTAGAGGAAATAAGGGAGCGTCCCCAAAATAACACTACAGACTATATCAAGAGAAATGTGTAAGAAAAAAGGGTAGGATCTATGGAATTACTGAGTTCCTAGAAGTTGTTTAGAAAATTATTTTTGCACTCTCCATTACTTACTCTAATTGTGAGTAACATATATCATAATACTACTTAAGTTTTGGAAATGCTACATGTTCTTAAAGAATACAGTTTCAGTCACTTTAAATTTGGCACTAGGTCTTAGACTATGACTGTTAAAGGTCTTCAATTTTTCTGAGTTAATCAACTCAAGTTATCAGTTGGTTGTGATACTGATGCTCAAGATGAGAAACCCATCTCAAACAAGTACCTCTTGTTCAGTTTTAGGCAAACCGAAGAAAGAAGTAACTCCACGCAGAGCTGTATAGTTACAGTAACTGGTTATTAAAAAGAGAAAGAGAGAAAGAGAGAGATACACACTACTCATTTTATTTTATTTGTCAGATCCTTCTAATAAGCATCTAGAGACAGGCCCAAAAGTGGCTTCATAGTAACTACAAAGGCCACAATAAAATTCTTTAAAAAATGATATATAAATCATAAACCAAATTTTTTCTAGTACTTAGTGCTAATTTTCCTACATAAACAATGACCAACCTAAAAAAAAAAGTTATTGCCCAACCAGCAGGCAACACAAATATAAGACCCATAACCAAACAAACAAAACCCAAACCAAAAAGAAAACACAAATCATTTATTAACAAGTACACTCTAACTTCAAGTCTAACCAACTACAACACTTTGAAAAGGCACAAAGAAAGATGGCATAAAAGGACACTGTCAAAGAGCTAGAGCTCAAAGTCTGACTTTTCATCAATAATATATTGGAGTGATACGGTGGGAAGCAAACTCAACAATATAAACACACCAGTTTCATTGCTTTTTTGCCACTGCAGAGTAAAAGGCAATAAATGATATTTAATTATATATTAACCCTTCTCTAACATTTTAAACTTACTCTGCAAAGATGTTTTGACACTTTTTAAGGTTGACAGAAAATGATCAATGTACTTACTTTATGACCTACCATCATGTTACTAAAGCACCAATATATAATTTTTTTTTTTTTGCTACTCCTCTTTTCTCCACAATAAATGTTGATTACTTAAAAGTATGCAAAGATTACTTACTACCTTGATAGTTGGTTTTATCTTGCTGGCATGAAGAAGAAATCCTAACCTAAAATCGTATTTTAGGCTGTAAAAAATAGGTTGAGTTTCTTATAAAAATAACCTCAACTTGACCTAAAAAAATTCTAAGGCAAAAATTATTTTGATAATGTAGTGTGAAAAATAAGCTTATTGTTTAACATTTAATAGTGTTCACTAAAACAAAAAATAACATTCAATTAAATCAAGGAAAACAGTATTCTTACTGTAAATGGTTTGTCAGTCTGACTATTCCCAGAGTATTTTCTTTTGCTCTTATTTTTATACATACAAACAAACACAAACATTTAATACTTAATCTTAGTATTCAAACTAATGATTTTTTAAAAATCCATTATCCTAGGACTTCAACTGTGCTTCTTTGGACAAATATTTATTCAAACAACTAAGAATTTAAATTCTTTTAAATGGTTTAATACCTACTAAAAATCTTTGGTGCATTTAAGTCAAAATGGATTACGTTAATAAATTTCTGCACTTGATAAATTATTCAATTTACAGATTAAGTGCTAACTTCTACCTGCTAAGAAATTAATTTAAAACAATAAATTATGCTCATAAAATAAAAAATTCTCAATGAGGCTAAACTTAATTGCAAGATTCAAAATTTTAAGTATAGTTACAAAATAAATGGATTTTAAACTTATAGAAAGATCAACTAAAAACCATAGGCCTCATTTTATACTTTTTGTGCCAACTTCAAAAGCTTATATACATTCAGTTTGCCCAAATCCATGAGGTTTTCCCAATCTAAAAACTGTCAGATACTTTTAGAAATTATAGGCAGCAGATTAACTTTCTTCTTGTTATTTTGCCCACCTATTTTTTTTTTCCTAAGTATCTACCTACCTCTAAGACTGGGTTAGGAGAGAATGCAGTGCCTAGCACATGGTAAGCATTCAGCAATGCTATCTTTCTTCTTTTCTTCCTAGTAGCTCTGCCATTTTGACCTCATGAGCTTAAATAGATCCTTTAACCTTAACATCAGATTCTTTCTAAGCAGGAATATGTTATGTTCTTTCTATTTTAGAGCTGGTTATGAGGTTCAGATGAAGTAACATGTGAAGGCATTTTAGAAAACAGTAAACCACTATTCAAGTTTAAGTTACCTAAAATAACTAAATACTATTATACAAATGTATTCACTTTACATAAGAGATGTGTTCCAGAAAAGTTCTACGTAAACCAATTCCTACAATTAAAACATATATTTAAAGCATTAGAATATTATTATTAAAAGAACCCTAAATACCTTCAAAATGCACAGTATTCTTTTCAATGTGAAAATGCAATATTCCCTTTTTGCCACCAAATATACAATATACCATATAATACACACACACACACACACACACACACACACGCACACATATATACCATTTGCCTTTTTGTAAGTCCAAATTTTTTTGTATTAGCTTATACATAAAGCACAGCATATTTTTAGGTAAGATTTCTTTCACTATAGTATGATTTTTAGTTAAAATCTTGTCAGTTTAATGATAAAAATCATAAAGATGTATCTTTTGCAATCAATTTTAAGGACTAAGAGACTAATAGTACCTCATATAATCAAGCTCAATCATGTGAGTACCCCAGATATTACATTTCCACACAAAGTAAATAAGAATGCTTCAAAAGAAGAAATAATACAGCAATTATGCCTACTGGTCCTAAGATAATTACAACCAAACCTTGGTAAATAAGGCAAAACTCAGGTTGGTTTTATTATTTATATCAACTACTTTGGTTAACTGCCTCAATTCCCAACATTGTTTCTTTCATCATCAGTAATATGGCAAATGTTCCTATAAAGTACCTTCATTTCTTAAGTGCTTTAAAAGTTTCCTCTATTACTAACTGGTTAAATTTTACTCACTGAAAGTTCACTATTTTATTTGTGATTTTTTTCACAAGGGCCAGGCCAGACTTTATAGTTTACACACAAAAAAGTGCTTAAAAGAATTAGAAGTGTAAACAAAACTGAAATACAGGACTTTTAAAATTGGTATTATCCAATCCTCTATATACAAACAGCAAGTTAACAGTAAATCAATCCTGCCTAGACTAATCTTCAAGCACCCTAATAGGAAACATTATGATAGTTTAAGTTTAAATTGACTTGAAAATATGGAAAGTGCACATCTTTAAAGGTATCTTACAATTCTGAACTTTCCTTAATTGAATTTAATAAGTGAGGTTTTGCTGCAATTGCTACTTCCTTTCAACAAGTTCTTGACTTTTGTTTCATACAAAAATAAGAATCAAGGATAATTATATAGCTATTAGGATTATATGAAAGCAAAAATAAAGATCTGGGTTGGATGTAAATCTGTACACAAGTAGTAGTAGTTCCATTTAGTTCAACAATATTAGGTTAAATTAGGTGCAAATTTCACAATCTGTTTGGCACTTTCTAATAATCATACATAAAATATGTAGGTTCTGTTTCCCAGTTTCAATTTGACAAATGAAATAAAACCCGAAGTAGCATGTTAAAATAAGTACATTAGTTTTAACTGCCCCTTACTTAGTGGGATGAAGATATATGTTGTGATATATTGTTAATGTTTCTGAAATAAACGATAAAGTACAAAAAATGAACTTACCTTGGAGATACCTAAAGATGGCATATTTTTCTTTCAACACATTTTCAGCTTGTATAATTCAATGCCTAAACCTATATTTGCCACTAGTTGTTCAAAGTAATTGAAGTATAAGCAAAATTAACTTATCCAGATCATCACTTCAATCCTGAAATTTTTTTAGCATGTTAATCTTGCCTGTTAGCTTTCTGGCTGAGTCTGTCTAAAGTCCAAAGGAGAATGATAACTTAAAATTATGGATAGATGTCAAGACAACACAGAAATACCCCAAACTTTCTTATATCTTCAGATTTCTAATTTCAGTTTTAAAAATCTGGATGAAATAATAAATCTTAAATTAGGATACAGAACAGTTGCAATTATCAGTATATTCTCACATTCCTTCTTAATGGCTACATGATCCTTAGACTTATTTGTAAGATGGGAAAGAGAAAAAAGGAGACTAAATAAAAATTTCCACTTATGATTACAAAAAAACACCCAATAATACCAGCAGCTAATAATTCTGAAAAGTTTAAGAACCATTAAAAATTAGCACTAATTTTAAAAATCACAAAAACATTTAAATATTATGCCAAAGTATGTCCAAATATCCATATGTTCAGTTAACAGTTTTCTTGATTTGAAATTTTCTGAGGATTTGAGAAACTAGAGAAAATTAGAAAAAAAAAAAACAATAGCAACAGCCCTACTAATTTAAAAGCCACCAGCTTTTGGCTACCATTAGCACATAACCATCAAAAAGTCTGTGGAATGTTTTCTCATGGATGATGTTCATTAGCAGAAATATTTTGAACAGCAGTAGTGTTATCAAGGCCCAGTAATGTTCCAAGGTAAGACTGATCTCTAGGATCTAGCATTTGTTCAGGTCGTACTGGATGAACGATATTTGCAGGCTGAGGAGTAAGGGTATATTTTTCCAGAAAAGCTAAGTCAGCTGCACGTGGATAATCAGTGCTCTGTGGCTGTGGTGACAGGATCTCATGAGAGGATGGAGGAAGTGTAGTAGTGTGCTGAACCAGATCACTCGGAGGGTCAGGCATCTGAACTGGAACCAGTGTTACTGGAACACACACTTCGGCAGACACGTTCTGTAATATAGTCTTGGCTTCTGATTGATAAACTTTGGGTTGGTCCATATATTGTTTTGTTTCTGTTTGAAAGAGTTTATCATCTGATGAGTACTCCACTGGCAAAGACACAAGTTTTTCCTCAGAAGTACTGAGAGGATCATCAGGAGACTTAATTCCATGAACATGGTCAATGTGGTATTTTAGCTTGTCTTTCCGCTTAAATGTTGCATTGCAGTGCTGACAGTTGAAAGGCCGGGCATCAGAATGAATAACTAGGTGTTTCGTTAAAGTTTTCTTAATTCTAAAAGATTGATTGCAAATTTGACACTTGTATGGTTTTTCACCTGTATGAACAAAAATGAAATTAAAATTTAAACTGAATCCATTTAATGATTTAATAGCAAATTTTCCAAACTTAATAAGAGTAATAATATTGTATGCTATCACAAAATAGAGACAGTCCAGCAGACTGGTCAAGAATGAGTTAAATAAATGTCAAAAAGATCACTTGAAATTTGGCTATACCATTCACTAGCCAAACCTTGAGCAAACTACCCAATTTCTAAGTCTATCTCTTTACTTGTAACATGAAAATAATTACAGTACTTAAATGAGAAAGTAAAATAATAGTGATTAGTATTATACCTAGCACACAGGCGATCGATAAACTTTAGCTATTGTTATGGTTACTTCCTTTACTGCCTCTATAGCACACAAAAATGTGTTAAGCTGAGACATCTGAATTTCTTCTACCCACGGAAAACAAAACAAAAGAGCAACTCCATGCAAGCTGGTTCCTTGGATCAGAACAATCCATTCAGAATGACCTCACATTCAGCATGAGGTCAAAATAAGGAAAGGTGACTGGGAGAAACAATAAAGAAGCTGGATCAGTTTTTAATTCCTCCTGAATACAGAATATAGTCTCAGACTATAGTTTTATTTTACTCTTTTATATAAAACACTAAATAATCTTAGGTTAGCCAATATGATAGGCAGAATAATGGCCCCTTAAATATGTGCATATTATAATCCATGGAAGCTGGGAATATGTTACTTTTTATGGTAAAGACAATCACACAGATACAACTAAGGTTAAAATCCTGAAACATGGAGATTGACTGCATTATCTATCTTTATGAGACAAGAGTCTCAAAAAGTAGTTGATAAATGAAGAAGACTGGGTCAAGGAGATGTATTATGAGAACTCGATCCCCCAAATTAGTGTGTTTGAAAATGGAAAAGGGAGGTAGGACTCAAGGAGTATGGTGCCGCTACAAGCTATGAAAGGTTCTCAGCTTACCTCTGGCAGGAAAACTCGAACCTTCAAAAACTGGATTTTGCTAATAACTTCAGTTAGTGGCACAGTCTTCCCTAGACTCCGAAAGAAATACAGCCCTACCAACACCTAGACATTAGCCCAATGCCAGACTTTTGACCTATGGAACTGTAAAACCATAAATTTTCATAGGTCAGGCTGCTAAGTTTGTGGTTATTACAGCAGCAAATGAGTACAATATACTCAAACATACAAATATTGCAATAGACACAACATCGTTTCTAGATTACATATTGTTACACAGATTTGCTGATATCATTATCATCTTCATCTCCCATTCAAAATATCTTTAGTTCTACAAAATTAAGGGATAACTACATCTTGAACTTGAAACACTAATTTCAAATAATTGTTAAATATTATCGTGTAATACTTTGTAGCCCACTGAAACTTTCAAATCCTTTTGACAGAAAATGTATACAGAATGGGATGCTGGGTCCCTGGTACCATAAGTTTTTACTGTTTCTGTGCTAACTGTACTACTACTGTTGCTACAATAGAAGACAACCATGAAATCACTTTATATATAAAGAAGCAATGTTTCTCAAAGTATTTGTAACTACACATAATAGCACACAGTGAACTCGATACTTGATATTACATTTGAATGCCTAACATAAAGAAATATTATAAACCACAGTATTTAAAGAAAAAGCTTAAACTTCCACAGTGCAAAAACTATAAAGTTCTATTAATCTCTGCCTTTAATACTAGCATACAAGGAGCTGACACTTCTCGAAAATAAGACATCACTATAACATGGATAACACCACCAAAAAGCATCATTTATTTTTAAAGATTAAAAAATGTTACTTTTAAGTGCTTTCCTTTGGCATAACTCTAGCCATGATGATCCTTTGAGTGTTTTAATGAAAAAGCTTTTATAAAAGCAAAGCTTCTTTGTTCTTTTTAAAATTTATAGCCTGGCATGGTAGTGCACGCCTGTAATCCCAGCACTCAGCAGGAGGATCATTGAGAGTTCGAGACCAGCCTGGGCTACAAAGTGAGCTCAAGACCAGCCTGAATTGCATACTGAGACCCTGTCTCAAAAAGAGAAAAATAAAAATAAAAATAAAATTTAGAGTCAGTCAGTTCTAGTGTGTGATGAATACTTTTCAAAAACAGTCCCCCCTCCAAACAAAAACCAAAAAAAACTGAGTCCCAGACAGATATATTCTTTTGAGAAGTTTCTATTATCACTGTAAAAAGGTATTTTCAGTAGAAAAAATTTAGGATTGTAAAGATAAAATTCCATAAGGAAAACTGTTGACATTATAAAATGTATAAAGCAAGTTTAGTGTGTTTAAAGACACACAAGTAGAAAAAGGCAATACACCACTATGAATTTGATGAAAAAAACAGAATACAAAAATAATTTTCACAGTAAGACTTTCTAGAGTAAAATTATCTATTTAACAATAATTAACCCAAATTTGGGGTATCTCACAATAATAAGTCAGACATACAGGCAACCCAGGAAAAGCGCTTCCCAGGGGATGCAGAAAAGAATCTATTAAGAACAGAAAGGTACATTCAGGAATGCAGCTGAGGGCTAGAGCACTTGCCTAGAGTAAACAAGGCTTTGGGTTCAATTTGCCAGTTGCAGAGACTGATGAAACTAACAACACTCAGAGATGTAAAGAGATGTATGCTACTTCCCAGCTAAGCCTTATGAATTAAAAATGTCATCCACAGGATCTTTAGATATTAAAATTTAGTATTTAAAAATATAACTTGAGGGGCTTTTATTGCATACTTCATAAAATATAGTTTATACCACACTATGCATCTTGCTGGAGAGAGGTAAATGAAAGGGTAAAAGCAAAACAAAACACAACACAACAAAACACAATGAAACCCTATTATTAACAGGCACAAAAGCATAACCAGGTCAGCCAGAACACAACAGGGCAAAATTCTGGAGAAGCACAAATATGGCAGGACTTCCTCGCTAGTGCACTTTCAGACTCACAGTGAATGAAATAGTAAGTTGCAGCCTAGGATTTGAGGAAATGTCAATGGAATAGGAAGATAAAACTGGAACTTGAGTTGTCAGAAGCCTGACAAGGAAAGAATAAGAGAGAAATTAACCAAAATATCTGTATTTGCTAATTCCTAAGGTGAACACTTGCTGGACTAGAGAGCTGGAAACCAGGACTGGAAAACTAAAAGGCTGGCAGGTTTTCAAAAATCCAAGGTACTGGGGAAAGAGATTAGAGTTCAGAGAAATAAAAACCAAAGAAATGTGCTGTTTCTTAGGCAGAAGGAAACAATTCTTGATGAAGCATGGTAATGCAAGGAGCAAACAATACAGGATAAATACATGATTAAGTGTAAATGACATCACTTATTTAAAACAAAAAAAAGGGCTCCACTGCTTATGAATGTAATTCTAGCTACTTGGAAGCTAAGGCAGGAGGATCAAAGTTCAAGGCTCTCCTGGGCAATTTAGCAGGACCTGTCTCAAAGAAGAAAAAAACGGGGAAAGGGTGCGTACTGGGAATGTAGCTCCGGGGTACAGCATTCCCGGAACCAATCCCCAGTACACCAAAAGTAGTAATTAAGGATTTACATGCTTTAAAGCGCATGGGAAATTACAGAATTAAAATATATGTAACAGATAAAAGATGAAAAAGATGGGGTGTTATAAACTACAATGTCAGAAAAGCGAGTAATTTTAATATTTCTACAAGGTAAAGTGCTTCTAGTTTAAGGACATACATTGTTATCTTCAGGTTAACCAGAACAATAATGAAAACATATTTAACAAGCTGAAGGGAAAATGGGTAAGAAAATAATTATAAAGAAAGTAAAAAACGAAAGTATCAAGGAATAGACATCACAAAGAACGTGACAAATTTAAGCCTAAATGAGAAATCAGACAATTGAAATGAACTAAATACTCCAATTAAACGTTAAATATTGTTACTATGCACAACAGGTAATAAAACAATAATCAAAGACATACATCTTAAATACATGTCCTTAGAAGAAGCAGAAGAGGAAAAAAAACATGAATCAACAGTATCAAAAGTATGCTGGTTTCTCTCATTATAAAGAGGGTATTTTATTATGATAAAATCTTTCAACAGAAGAATAAAACAAGTTGTACATATCCAATAACATTGCCTCAAAATATATCAAGCAAAAAAAGAAATCAAAATGAAAAATAAACAATATGTAATGATTGTTAGGTTAGAGATTTTAACATAGATTTCTCAGTAACTTAATAAGTGTACTTATTCTATAAGTAAAAAAGGTAAGAATGTAGCATGTTGAAAAATTGAGTATGTTCTTCAGAGTAAAACTAAGCTAGAAATCAATAACATAAGCATGCTCAGAAAAATCCTCAACTATTTAGAAATTGAGGAATTTAATTCTAAATAAACCATGAATGAGAAAAAATTAGAATAGATGTTAGAATATATTTTAATTGAATTATACTGGGAATGTGAATTATACTGGGAATGTGAAATTGAGGTATGGAATATACCTAAGGCAGTACAGAGAGTAACCTGTATCTTTAAAGTAAATTTATGTATGTATATAAAGAAGCTAAGACAAGACAGAAACTATACCCAAAGAAGACACAAGGATGAAAACCAAATTTAAAAATAGAGAGAGGGCTGGGGATTTAGGTCAGCAGCACAAGCGCCTGCCTAGCAAGCACAAGGTCCTGAGTTCAATTCCTGGTACAAAAAAAATTTTTTTAAAAACAGAGAAAAATTAGCAATACCTACTGGTTGTTTGAAAAGATTAATAAAATCAATAAATCCACAGAAAGAAAAAAATATATCACTAATAACAGGAATGAAGAAAGTTTTTCATGAAAGATGCTATAATTATTAAAAATAATAAAATATCTTGAATTCTGCCAGTAGCTTCCCACTTTAAACAGAATCCCTTACAATACAAAAACAGAATATTGAATAGCTCCATAAGTATTTTTAAAAATCTTTGATTAGGTTAGAGATGTAGCTCAATAGCCTAATATGTCTAAGGTCCTGATTTCAACCTCTAGTCTTGCAAAAAACTAAAATCCTTCTCTACAGAAAATAATAAAGTCAGAGGGATTTATCAGTAGATTCTTCCATACATTATTTACAATATGATGCCAATTTTATATAAACTTCGCCAGATAACCCACAAAAATCCATTATTTCCCAGTCATTTTTTGAGACCTCATAGTTATAGTAACAAAACTTAATGGGGACAGTACAAGGGAATAAAGACAGGCAGTATATTTCTTGTATGAAAAAGATAGCAAATATAAGCAAACTGCAGTTGGCTGTACAAGATAAAGGATACTATTATCATGTATAGGATGTAGCACATCTTGAATACATCATGAAAGGATTAACAGGATACTATATCACAAATTAATCTGGGTTTAATTCCAGAAATGCTAAGAGGGATAGATGGTAATGAGACTGAATATAAATATATATATAAATATATACATATCCAACAATGGAATAATGTGAAGAATATTATATAAAGAACCCCTACAAATGGATTAGGGAAAAAGAGAACAGACAATTGCATTTGAGGACACGAGCAGAACTAACCTGGGATTCCATAAAATAGATATTCAAATGGCCAATAAGAATATGAATTATAGAAAACCACTCAATATCATTACTCATCACACAGATGCAAAGAAAAGTTACTTTCAGATAATGCCACATATGTATCAGGTCAATTAGCAAAAAAGACAGTATGTTTGCATAATGTGGAGTGACTAGAATTTTCTTATACTGCCAGTGGTAGTATAAACTGACAAAGCTATCTTAAAAAACTGTTTAGTACTATAGTTTCTACAAGAGTAGAACATTTACGTTTTTTTGAGCCAGGAATCCTGGGGCCAGGAGTATACATATGAGAAAGAAATGCATATATGTATGAAAAGACATGGACAAGACTGTCAGGGAATGTTTGTTTATAACAGAACCAAGTAAATACAGACTAACTTGTCCATCAAAGCAGAATGGAATAAGTATGGTATATTCACATGGTAAGAAAAGTAAACTACTGCCATAGAATAATCTCACAGGCCCAATACTGACCAAAAGAAGCCAGATTTAAAAAGGAAGAAGAGTACATACTATGTGAGTCTATTTATCTGAAGCTGAAGCAGGCAAAAACCAATTTTTGGTGATCCAAGTCAAAATAGTCATTATAACTGAAAGGAGGTTACTGACTCAAGGGGCCATGAACGATGCTTCCTGGAGGCCTCGTCGCATTTTACATCTGCATCTGAGTTGTGGCTGTACTGACATATTCATCATGAAAGTTCACTGAGCTGCTCATTAAGGCCTGTGTACTTCATGTGTAATACTTCACTAAAAGTAGCTCTCAAAGACAATTCACCTTGAATTAAAAAAAAATCCAACCAAAGCTTTAAAATTAACTCCTTAATTTGATGTCAGCTTTATGCCAATTTTAACGAAAGTATTATGCTTCAACAAAACTAGTGAAAAACACAACCACTCTTCTGAGGATTACACAAGAAAAACACATGGATAAGAATAACACATTTGTCGAAAAAAATTCTTACACTTTCTAACTAATCTATTATATTGTACCTTGTGCACAGAAATGATACAGTAATAGAACAGAAAACCTAGTTAAGGAGATTCCAAAATACGAGAATTGAGCAGCACACGTAGAACTCTGAGGCTATACTGACTACAGCAGAGAATGAGGAGAACAAAATTACTCTGAAGGTAATGAAGATTCAACGTCCTTGATCATTTCCACTCCACAAAAGTACTACCTAATTTTACTCTGTATCAACATTTGGCAGTTTTCCTTCTGGATTAATAAATGTAGCAACTCTACTTCCTGGATAAGGACATTCTACCCAGCAGATATTAAAGTCTCATTCTGTAGAAGGTAAACAAGTAAACAGTTTGGTTAATCTATTTCCAATGGTTACTATTAAATACTCAAAATACTTATAAGTCTCACACACCAACAAAATTGAATTTGTGGATCTACAAATCTTAAATATGGACTTGGGCACATGGTAATTAGTTCTTGGAGTAGCCACTATGTGAAGTCTCGTCTAAGTACCCCGCGACCATTTTAGGAGATGGCAAACTATATCGCATAAGAAAACTTTAGTTCACTGCCTGTACTGTATTTGTCAATAGCTGTACTGGAAGACAGTTCATTGTTTATGTTCAGTCTATGCCGCTTTCATGCAACAATGGCAGACCAAGCAATTGCCTACGCTGGCCCCTGCTTTACATTATTTCTCTTCATTCTATAATAATAGTTTTAGTCTATAATACAGCTAATTACTGTGCCTCAATTTTCAAAGAGCAGAGATTTACCTCTAATTTCAATTATCTATGAAATATGAGAGATAGAAATATATATCTTTTTTTCTTTTTTTCTTTTCTTTCTTTTGGCTTTTACAGACAGGGTCTTACTCTCAGGCCTTAAGTTCATCATTTCTTTCAAGTCATAAATTCTGTTAGGCTCTTACCTGTAAGTGATGTGTAAGATAGCATTCAGTTTGCTCATTTTATACTTCCACGTATGTGCTCCCAAATTACAACTTTTTCATTGGTGAAAGATGTAATTTTGCTTTTAATAACAGCACTGTATCAGTATTAAATTTTTATTATAACTTTTTGGTGCTTAAAATCCTAAATTCAATTATTTGACATTCTAATATTTTTGGAATCAATCATTTTTCTCCTTTTGAACAGCAGCTTGACAGAATCCAAGCTGAATATATAACAAAGCAGTTATAACTGTATAAATAAATTCTTTCTTTAAAAAAAGGAAAGAAATTTTTAAAACCTGTTAATTTATATGTGAAGGCAAAAAAAGACCAAGATAAAAATTCAACACAGTCTATATTTCAAAATGTAACTGCTTTCCAAGAGGGGAAAAAGGGAAGAATCAGCAAATGAAAACCTCTAAAGCTGGTGAGACAGGAGGATCACTGTAAATTCAAGGCCAACCTGGGCTACAAAGTGAGTTCCAGGTCAACCTGAAATGCATAACAAAACCCTGCCTCAAAAAAAAAATAAACAAACAAAAAAAGAAAATGAAAACTTCTGGAATGTGTTCAACAGTAATTACCTATAAGTCATGACCAACTGTGCAAAAGAAAAATTATACAATGGTGACTTGGTAATCAGAACAATAAGGGCATATCTTTATTACTCTTTTTTAATAAAAGAAAAGAAACAGATAATCAAAACCTAAGGAAACCCTTCAGAGAATGAAATAAAAAACAACTAGAAAACAGTCAGAAAAGGGGAAAATGAGAACTAAAAATTTAGTGAATTACCAATGCAAAAATATTTTCCCAAGTTCTAAAAAGTAATATTCAAAACTACTGCAACTTTTTGGCAATACTGAGACTGAACCCAGAGTCTGCTGACTTAAATTACTTTCCCAGTACCCCCACCCCATTTTTTTAAGACAGGGTCTTGCTAAGTCACTCAGATGCTGAAACTGGCCTGAATTTGTGGTCCTCCTGCCTCACCCTCCCAGGTAGCTGGGACTTCAGGTGTTAGTCAGTGCATTTGTCACAAGTACATATGTTAATGGTGAGAAATATTCCAGCAAGAACATATATGGACATGTTTCGCTCCTGAATAATTACACAAAAATGGATACAAAATACTCAAGAAGTTTCACCTGAATGTGTCCGAAAATGCATTTCCAGACTCGATTTTCCTTTAAAAATCTTCTTACAAACATCACATTGATGAAATGTTGCTTTATATCTAAGAAAATTAAAAAGTTAAACTTTTTCAATATAACTTTAGTAACAGTGAAAATATTTTACACCTTTACTTATAACTGTACATTTAATTAGCACATTAACAAAGCACAGAAACCTGAAGAAACATAAATATTTTAATACCCATACTGCCTCTAGTTCTTCCTCTTCCAGTTATACTCATCAACCAAATCTATAAAAACATGTCCTGCTTTGAATCGCTGAACTTCTATTATTATCAGCCATGAAATATACAAAGGAAAATTATAGGAACAAAAACTGATCAACAGTGGGCTGACGAGGAAAGGAAGGGTTTGCTGCAAAGTATCACCACAAAGCGACAGCAGAGTTTTCATAGTGGTAGAACTGCACTTTGATGGTGGTGATAAGTGTAAAATTATATGCTAAAAAGAGTGAATAAATTTTATGCAAATAGATACTAAGGATAATTAAAAAGAAATTATAATAATGTCAAAATCTGCATTCACAAAAAAGCTGACATTGCTCTACAGAAGAAAATATTCATGATAAAAACCCTGAAGAAACTAGGTACAGAAGGATCATACTCCAACACAATAAAAGCTATCTGTATAATACACCCACAGCTACCATAATATTAAGTGGGGAAGAACTGAAAGCATTTCCTCTGAAATCAAGAATGAGAGTAGGTTATCCCCTTACCACTCCTATTCAAAATAGTGCTTAACACTTTAGTTACAGCAATTAGGCAAGTAAAGTAGAAGGATCCAAACAGGAAGAAGTCAAATTATTCTGATTTGTAGATTGTAAGCTCCTATGCTTAGAAGGCCCTAAAGACTCAAGCAAAAATTTTTGATATAATCAACAAATTCATCAAAATAGCAGGGTACAAAATCAAAATTAGGGGGCTGGGGATTTAGCTCAGGGGCAAGGCGCCTGCCTGGCAAGCGCAAGGTCGTGAGTTCGGTTTCCGGTACCGGAGAAAAACCAAAAAAAAAAAAAAAAAAAAAAAAAATCAAAATTAAAATCAATAGCTTTCATATATACCAATAATGAACTCACTAAAAAAAAAAATCTGAAAACAATTCCATTCAGAATATCTTAAAAAATTCACCTAAGAATCAATATGACTAAAGATGTGAAAAACCTCTATCATGAAAACTACGTAACACTGAAAAAAAATTGAGCAAAACAATAAAAGATGGAAAGACCTTTCATGTTCAAGGATTGGCAGAATTAATATCGTTAAAATAGCCACATTACCGAAAGTAATTTACAGATTCAATGCAAAGACCTAGGTAAAAGATCTAAAACTGAAACAATAAAACATAGAGGAGAACACCTGAAGTTATAGGCACACATAAAGACTTCTTAGAACCCATGGGCTGTAACTATGTGTTAGATATTTCTTGCATATCTTTGTTTTCCTGAGAAACCACTTTGAAGATACCAACATGTATTACAGCAGCCATTGATTAATTTCCTACCAATCTGTCCATAACTCTGTAATGTTTCTATTGTTCCTATGCTGTTTTGTGAATGGATGTATGTTTATTACTATGTGTTTTCAACAACAACCATTGAGAATAGTCAATGATGATTTAATTGATCACTCATGTATAGCTTTATTTGTTTTCCCTACAAACCACTTTGAAGAAACCAAAGTATAGTACAACAACCATTGATAATTTCCTACCATTTTTGTCTGTAACTCACTATTATTTGTCTATTTGTTTTCCTGAGAAACTATCTTGAAGATACCAATAGGTAAAATAACAACCATTGATAATGTCCTACCACTTTGTCTATAATTCAGTGAATCCCCTATTGCTATGTTGTCCTTCTTTTGCTCTTTTAAATAAATAGAAGAAAAGAAAAAAAAGACTTCCTGGATGAGACTCTAACAGCTTGGAAATTAACTGCAAAAATCAACCAATCAGACTGCATCAAATTAAAAAATGTCTGCACAGCAAAGGAAACAATTAACAGACCAAAGAGACAGCCTACAGAATGGGAGAAAATCTTTGCTAACTGTTCTTCCAATTGAGGATGAACACCCACAGTATCAGTATCTGAAGAACTAAAAAAATTCAACTCCAAATGAACAAATATCTAATTAAAAAATGGGCAAATCAACTCAACAGACACGTCTCAAAAAAAGAAATATGTATAGCCAATAATTACATGAAAAAATGTTCAACATCTTTAATCATCAGAGAACTACAAGTCAAAATTATACTGAGATTCCATCCCACCCCAGTCCAACCCATACCACCCCAATCAGAATACCTGACATCAAGAGTAACTGCTGCTAACATGAGTGGGGAGAAAAGAATCCTTACACACTGTTGGTGGAAATATCAATTACTACAGTCACTGTAAATCAGTAGGAGGTTCTTCAAAAAACTAAAAATGAAACTACTACATGACCTAGCTGTACCATGCCTTGGTACATACTTGAAGGTCTTAAAGTCAGCCTACCCACTTTTACTGCAGCACCATCCCAGGGGCCAAGATATGAAATCAGCCCAGGTGCCCTTCAATGGACGAATGGATGAAGAAAAAGGAATACACACACACACTCACACACACACATGTGCAATGGAGCATTATTCAGCCATAAAAGCAAAATAATGCTTCTCAGGAAAATGGATTCCATCATGGTAACTGCAATAAGTCAGGCACAGAAAGACAAGAGTCACATGTTTCCCCTCTGTGTGGAATTTAGAAAAACAAAAAGGTGACATGAAAATAGGAGGGAGACTATTAGACAAGAGGAGGGGCTAGAGAGAGGGGAAAAGGTACCTAAGAGACTGTCCCAGAGAGATGGAGATGCTCAAAATGTTATATGAATGTATGAAAATTCTACAGAGGAACCTGGTATTTTGTAAATGTAATATGCATTAAAAAACAGGAAAAAAGCTGACAATGCTCTCATAAGTTTACTTCTTAACAAACATTTTACACTGGAACTTATGAATCAAATAAATTTAACACGAATAAAAAGGAAATACAAGTCCTCTATTTTTATTATAAACAGAATAAATAAAGTTACAAACTGCTTAAAATTTAATTTGGTGAACAACACAGTGTTGTTTAAAAAGTTTTTTTTGTTTTTTTTTTTTTTGGTACTGGGATTTGAACTCAGGACCTCAGGCTTGCCAGGCAGGCACTGTGCCCCTGAGCTACATCCCTGGTCCTGAAAAGTATTTCTGAGTGAAACAATCCCAAATTCAAAATTTAATTGTATGGCCTATGATATACCACGTAAAACAATTAGCATTTAAATGAAGTCAATGTCTACCACCTCCTGTTCTTTAAGTAAAAACAAGTAGGAAAAATATGCTTTCAGGTCTGTAAAGAGAAGCTACAGACTAGACAAAGGGCTAACTTATCCCCAATTGAACAAAATGAACAAAAAAGTTGTAAATTTTCTCCAATGAAGACCCAGCCAATGTACTAATTCTGAGAAATTCTGCTTTTCCACTTACTTTTGCCACACCTTTTCTCCAAGGTGCACACTTTTGTAATGCACAGTGAGATGATCTCTCCGGCCAAAACATTTTCCACATTCTTCACACTGATGAGCCTTTTCACCTAACAATGAAGACCCAAATATTTTGATTTTAATAAGCATTTTGGCTTTTTTCACCAGAAACAAATGACCAAACAGGAAAATCATACAGTGGCAAATATACCAGGAAAATAAAGCCACCTTTTATATTCTAGTCTATTTATTTCCTTTATATTCCTTCCTCAAGTATCATTCCTTAAGAAATATAGGCTTAATTTCATGGATGTGAATCTTTTCCTCATTGGCAGAAGAAATCAGCAGCTTTCTGCTGTAGACATCAAATCTTACCTTTCAATGTAACAGAGTAAGAGAAAAATTATTTCAAAATTCAGGATATTTTTTAGGACTATATGTATGGATATGAAACACCTCAAATAAACATTTATTAAATTGAGATGAAGCTGTTTTACTGTTTGAAAAAAAGGACCTGAACATTTTCAGATCTTTGTACCTTGCTTTTAGAAGATTTTCACTTGTGGGGATTTCTCACATTTGCAGAGCCAAAACACCAATACACAGAAAATTCTAAATGATTCTCTATTTTCACATTTAGTTACAATGGCTTAGTCTTTAAAAAATACTCTTCATCACACTCAATGCCAGTGTGCGATTAACACATGTAACTAGAATTAGGGATTTAGAATTCTCTTGCTAGAAATGAAAATGCATTTACTTCAATGAAAACAGTCACTAGACCTTTAGCATCTCTCAAAAGTGACAATATGCATACATTTAAATTACGTTTAAAATAATAATGATAATCACCTGTTCTACTGTGCTCATAGAGATGGCTCTTTCCCATTATTGTGCTCACATAGTTGGCTCTCTTAGCACTTCCTGAACATCAATCTGAGAGGAAAATATGAAAGAAATCCCCAGAATATGAAAATCATATATGCAGTAGAAAGATCTGAAATTGATCCGGATTATTAAGATTCTATTTTCCAATGACAGAGTTTCAAAGTTCACTATAATATAAACTTTAATACCCAATTATAGTTATTTCTATTTAAATACCAAAGTTTCACCAACTTCTCAAATACAAGCACAATCAGAAATATTAAAATGGTCTCTCACTTTAGGGAAGCACCAATAGTAATTACACACATATTGAAACAACATGAAAACTGCTACTTTTGGGAATCTGTTTAAAATTAAACTTTAAAATATACATTAGAGTCACAAAAGGTGATCAAATGATTAAAATTTCACTGAAAATGTCATAAAATTATTTTTTTCCTAAAAGTTTTAGAAGCAGCATAACAAAGTCATGAGAATATTAGAAATTATTAAAACTATAGCCAAGAACATAAATATGATGCAATATTATATTCTTTTCAGGTGCTTTTAAAAAGGATTCTGAAACTAGTGATACAGAATACAGCTTACCTGAATGTATTTTTTTGTGCTTAGTGAGGTGGTCATGACGAATAAATGTTTTCCCACATTCATCACATTCGTATCTTTTATCATCATGATGTACTCGTAAGTGAAGTCTGTGAGGAAAAAAAATTGATAATCACTGAAACTCAGTGACCAGAAGAGAAATGCTTGATAAGCAATAAATGATAACTAAATAAGGAAAACTGGGCTGTCCACTTCACCACTCGCACACATTATCTGCTTCCTATGTATGACTCTCAGAGTTCTTGTCAGTGTTTGATCAACTGATCCAAAGGTTCCTATTCATCTCTTCCAAAAATGTATGTCAACATTTGCACGTGCTCATAGTATTTCTGGATGATACATCTCAACTTGCTAAGATCTCAGTCTGTCTACTTCACTGAATCTACCAAATATATGGGTAACTCTTTATCTGACTTGCCAAGTCCCAGAAATACAAAAATAGGTGCATTTCAGGAATTAGAATCAGACAATGAGGTTCAGTATTTAAATGATTAAGTATATTATTACAATAGTACAGGACAGAGCAGATAATTGAAGATTAATCCTTTTTATGGACAACTGTCACCACTTATGTCTGACAGTTGAACATTTACTTCAACCTTATGAAAATTACACTTTACCACTTTACGGTGCTTGAACAACATGGGTCCCATTTTATAGTCACTCTAAAATAGATTATAAAAGGTTTAAGTTATTAAAATTCATTTAACTTGAATCATTTTTACCTTTGCAATCTTCTGTCTACATACATATCCTAATGAAAAGAATAGTTTTCCCATTCAAGTTGCCAAAACAAGTGTTGATTGTACCATAAAATGGAGATGTAACAAAACTTAGTAAACAGACTAGACTACATCTAAAGGGAACACATTCTGTTTAATCTTAGAGGTAAGTAAAGTGAAAGTATAAATATTAAAACCTTAAGACTAAGACTCTAGGCCTGGTGTGGTGATGCATGCCCATAATCTCAGATACTTAGGAGGCTGAGGCAGGAGATTCACAAGTTGGAGGGTGGCCAAGGCAACTTAGCAAGATCTTATCTCAAAATTTAAAAAGAAAAAGGGTAAGAATGTAGCACACTGGTAGATGCTTGTTTAGTGTGTGTGATCCTAGGTTTAATCCACAGGACTGTAAAGGTTAAAAAAATTAAAATTCAACAAAGCATTAATAAAATTAATATTATATACACATTTCACAATAAGAGGTTGTTACATCTTTAGAAAAAAGCCCTAACATTTTACAAACTATAATATGGTCTGACAGTCAGCCATAACAACAACAATTAAATAAGAATGACTTTCTACATTTTTTTTTTTTTTGTCAATTTGAGACAGTTTGAGAACTGTACAGTTCAGGATGGCCTTGAGCTCACTTTGTAGCCCAGGCTGGCCTCGACCTCACAAAAATCCTCCTGCCACAGCCTCCCAAGTGCTGGGATTTCAGGCATGCGCCACCGTGCCCGACCACAGATGACTTTCTAGAATTGAGAATTCTACAGTTTTTAATCTTGCCATGTTTGCCATGCTAAAGATATTCTTTTAAAATAAATTTTAAAATATACCAAGTTTGGAACACCAGAATTTTAACAAATTTTTCAAAGAGAAACGATTTTTTAAAATTTCAATAATAACGTCATAAACTCTTCAGTAAACTTGCTAATAAAATATTTAGTGTGTTATAGTCAGAAGATAATATTAAAATATAGAAGGAAATCTATTTAGTAAGGTATTTTTTGCACAACTCTGCATATCATAAAGGCTAAGAAACATCTTAATTTAACACAAAAAGTTAATAAGAAAATAAAACTAAAATGGAGATGCAATTTTCTCTTCCTCAATATAAAGGAAAATAGCTTTCCTTACCTGTATGAACTTCCATGTCGGAAACTCTGCCCACAGATACTACAAAGGTGAGGCTTTTCTCCACTGTGGATTCTCAAATGTTCTTTTAAAGTGGTTCTGTGTTAAAAGTACATATATTTAAAATTCTTTTAACACAATGCACACACTTCACAGAAATTTCCAGAACTCTTATTCAAAAGCTATGCAAGGTATGAGACATTATCAAGATTCTACCCCTTCCTCCTTCAGTATTTCTGCTTTTCCTAGGACTATTTTCACCAAACAACATGGTTTATGTCTCTATCTTTAAGAAAAAATTAAAATAAAGCACAATAGCTTTGGCCTCCTTTGCCACTGATTTGCTTACAGGTGTAATTATTTAATATAGGCAAACTTTGGGAACATAAATAAAAAACCCTAAATTATGACTGAATTAGATAAAAAATAGTGTGGATTTTGGTAAGTAGCTTAATAATATTTTAGGAATCTAGTTTATCAATAGTCCTAAATGTGTGCTCAACACTTATTTCAAAAATGTCTTAAGGTTTAACACAATGTTACAAATGCCTCTGTAAACGTGAAAAACCAATCTACAGAAAGATGTAATTGCTATTCATAAGTCTTCGCGCCAACTGACTCTCAATGGGTTACTGCGCAGTTATAACTACTCCAAACCACTACAGTTCTATATTTTGGGGCTTTCTCATTAACTGAAGTGTTGAATGAAGATGAAGCTCGTTAAGGGGGAAGAAGTGAAAGACAAATATGACTGACCTGTGCAGGCTTTCAGCTGTTAAGTATCATTTGGTTTTTATTTCATTACCCCACCTAATGAGTTTAAGACATGAAAACAGAGCTCTGCCAGCAGATGGTGCTCTTACACAAGGTACACTGACAATTGACAAGTGCCCGATGCATTTATGAACACCTGTGGAAAATACTCCTAAAAGTATTCCTAGATCCCCAAAAGTAGTTATAGTAAACAGATAATATGGTTATGGCTTGTTTGCTTTTTGTTTTTACAGAAAGCACTATATGGGGAAAAAGTTTATAATTAATATAATAAACTATATAATTTTCCAATCTGTAATTTTAGTTTCATTATAGTATACTGATTTTTCTATTCCTCCATCATAGCCAACTACTAAAGAAAACAACATTTCTAATTTTTGTTATGAAACTTTTAAGTACTTAAGAGTATATAAAATTTACATGTACCGTAAAGAGTAATATTAATATGTAGGTTAAAAATTAGAAAATTACTGGTACCTGATATGCCTCCACATTCTTCTCCTAAATCTTATTCTTCTCTTTCCTCAGAAATAACCACATATTATACACACAGACACACACGTGAGATAAGATAATCGTACTACTAATTTCTATTGGTTTATTGAAAGGCACAGTTAATGCTTAATTGTTTGATCAATTTTGCATGCTTATATCTGGTAATCTGAACAACTACTCTGAAGGTAACAATATGCAATAAAACAACCACTGTTAATTTCCTTTCCTCTTGTCTTGAAATTCTGTACCATTTTTATTGTTTTTTCATTCTCTATAAAATTAATAAAAATTTTTTTAAAAAACATATACTAAGCAGTCCCTTTTTATTCTACCATATACATATACGGGTGGGTATGGGTGTGTGTCACTAAACAATATACCGTATGCTTCTGAAAAGTTGAGTAGCAAGCACAAACCTTACAATATTGCCATAAGTAAGTACTAAAGGGCACAGATATAATATGAACAGGATCTCTGGATCAAAGTCTAGCTGGAGTTTGAGGGTCATCAAGAGACTTTTCTGGCATGTCAGTGGTAAGGTCATGAATAAATACTGGAAAACACAGGTTCACTATAGTGGGAACATCTGCAAGAACTAGTATACATCTAGTACTGAAAAAAATCTAGCAGAAACCTAGTCAAAACAAGTAGGATGCTCTGTACTCTGCTTCTTAGCTCACAGCCAACTATCTCTAATTTTCATGGACAGCCCCAGGTAACATTTCAGTGACTTCAAATGAGTATCTGCAGTTAAATGAAGCAGAGGGGCATGAAGACTTGGAACCTCATTGATTCACAGAGGTACTACAGAGAGCAGAGTACAGAGAAGTCAGACCTCCTCCAGCATTCTGTCTCCTATTTAAAAGATGAGACATGCCCACAGAGAACCCTGATAATGACAACCTTCCACATGTCTTGGGTCACATTACTACCTGTAGGGAGTACTCATTACCTAAGGGGCATATATCTACCATCTTGGTATCATCATTCGCCCTCCTCCTGGGAACTCCCTTTCTTCTCTCCAGTGTCAGAACTCCTATTTCCTGTGGCTTTCTTTCCCTTTTAGGCGCTTACTCCTGTTTTGGCAGAGCACTACCTTCATTGGTTATGAGAAAAAAATTAAACGCCAATTTCCTGAATACATCAAGAAAATATTACTGTTCTATCTTCTGACTTGATTGCTAGTTTAGCTGAGAAGAGAGTTCTAGGCAAGAGATTATTTTCTTTTAGAATTTTGAAGATACTAATGCATTGTCTTCTAGTGTTGCTCTTGAGAAAAGTCCAAGATATTCTTATTCAATGTATCATTTGTTAAAACAATATTCTCCCTTATGCTATTTTCAGGAAATAGCCTTTTAGTGGGTTATCTGGAAGGTAAAATCTAAAAGCCGAAATACTGGCAGGGAGGAGGTCTAGGGCTATTTTCAGCATTGAGGATGCATCTAACCACCTTACAACATGGCATATTCCAATACCACAATTTCCTGTTAGCAAACAGCAGGCAATGGCACATGTGGACTACAGAAAGCAATCCAATGATCTAGCTTCAAACACTTCAACAGAGTTTACTCCAGTGCTCCTTCATTGGAGTTCAAGTAGAATCGGATACTGCCAGTTCCCATACCTTGTTTGAATTCTGTAACGTAAACTAGGTTCTTGTATTTCCCCACTGTCACCTTGGAATTTGTCTTTCTTACATCTGGTAAGTCAGCTGCCACTGGTTCATCTGCTTTATGGCTTTCAAACCCTTGCAGTCTTGATGCCTATTTTTTCTATCTTTAAAAAATAAACCTTTAATGTATTTTTAACCGGATTACATAGAGATAAAATGACATGTCAACCATGTCAATCTGCAAATCCTGATTCCATGGCATCTTCTACAGTATATATATTTTTTTCTCTTACCCTTATATTTTAAACTAATGCATACCTCAGATATTATGTCTTGAATTACTGTATACCTTTATGAGCCATATTTATAGCTATTTTTACATAAAAAGTACTAAAATTTTTTAGTTATGCAGATATTTGTCACCTTTCTCGTACTGATTTCCCACAAATAAAGCAAGTCCATTTTCTCTTTCCACCATGAGTACATTCTATATGGCGTTTCAAATTTCCAGTGTCATTGAATTGCCGACCACAAATATCACATGGAAAAGGACCTGAAAGACAAAAGAAAAAAAAGAATAGTATGCACTTAAAAGTAAAGCTCAAAACTCAGGTAAACTTAATAGATTTGCTATAAATTTACACCTGATGCTATCAGGGTATTTATCATAATACACTGTGTTTACTAATTTGCAGTTTTCTCTTCACTTCTAGATTATTTCTAGAAGACAGGTAACTATCATTTCTATGTCCTTAGAGCCATGTATATGGTTGGCACGTAGCAGATATACAAGTGCTAAAGAAACTAATGTGTTATAAGTTGAAATGGGCAATTCCTACTTTGAAATCAAACTGATACAAAACAGAAAATACTACATACTTTCTGTGAAGAGGTGAAACCTTGAAAGAATGAAAAGAATAATAGAACTTATCAGTTATAAATACACAAAGGGTGATATGGTGAAAGTTTAAATTTTAAATTATTACAGTAAAAGACACACTGCCATTAATCATGCTCTTGTCACTTTCTGAAGCAGTTCTGAAAGTCTTCTTCAATGTCTAAGTTGCGCTTTCACAGCTGTCTCAATGCCCTGAATTGATTCAAAACGTTTATCTTTTTCATTGTAGATCCAGTGACTAAAGTGGATGAAGACACCCCATAAAGCCTGCCTGCCTGCTGGGTGGCACTCAACAGCAGCATTCACTGTAGATTTGATCACATCTCATAAAGACACTCATGTAAGAGGACTTTCAGGAACTGCTTCAAGATGTGGTAAGAATGATGGGATAAATGCGTTCAAGGAAGGGAGAATATTGTGAGGGGGATTAATGGCAATGTGTCTTTTACCTTAATAAATTTTTAAAAATTTAAACATTTACTGCCTATTTCTATCACACTGCATATTGCTATTCTCCACACACGTTTTATTGATACTGAGTACAGTGAAAATACTGTGGCACATTTTCATATAATTTTACAAAATTAAACCAAATTTCTCATAATTGTCTTAGTTACTTTTCTCGTTACTGAGACAAAATACCCAACACTCAAGGTTAAAAGGGGAAAGGTTCATTTAGCTCAGTTGGTAGAGCTTTCAGTACATAACTGGCTGGCTCCAAGGCAAGGTGGCACATGACAGAGAACAATAGTTCACGGCAGCGAAAGACAGTAAAAGCAAGCAAAGGAGGGAGAGAGACAAGCCTATTTCTCTCCCTAATATTGTATGTAGGCTACCCACCCTAGGGCAGGTATAACACTATACCCTTAATCCTAGCATTGGACCATGAATAAACCACAAATTCCAAATTCAGTCATCTTGGAAAAGCCCACCCACCATGACTACATGAGGCTTTAGGGGGACATCCACACACAAACCCAAACATTTTGCTTCTGGGCCCTGAAAGACTCATGCACATTCCTTTATGTAAAGGCCTTTAGACCATCTTTAAGAGTTGCTGAAGTCCTAACAGCTTCAGCACTGCTGAAAAGTCCAAGTCCCAAGTCTTCTCTGAGATTTAAGGCAAACTCTTAGCTGTGAGCGCCTGTACAAATGAAAACAAAGTTAAACACTTCCAACATTCAATGGCACAAGATAGATATTTGCACTCCAAAAGTTACAAGTAAGGGTATACAAAGGACTGGAACCAAAGCAAGTCCAAAATCCAGCAAGGCAAACATTAAGTGCTATAGTTCTATGTGCAGCACTGAGGCAATCTGTGGCAAAATGTGATCTCCAAAGGATGGCTCTACTCCTATGGCACTGCTGACAGTTGTAGCTCTCATGGCTTCTCTCTTGGGTCTACTGTGCTCCCTCTTCGCAGTTTTTCTCAGATGATCCACATTGTTGGCTTCTCCAAACTTCTGGACTCTGCACTGTATCTCTGGCTTCACACTCACTGCTTCACACTCTGCCCTCTCAGGGACATACTGACCAGCCTCCTAGGCCTTCTGAAATCTGGTGGAAGCCTTCCTGACCCCACAACTCTTCCATTCTGCATGCAACTAATACCAGTGCCACATGGATGATGCCAAGGTCTGCTGTCAGCTGGAGCAGTAGCCAGGTTTCTCTTTCTCTTGGCTGTAGGGTTTGAGTGTCTGGATCACTGAGCACTTTGAATCCAGTTCTGCGGAACAAATTCTCTAGGTCACTGCCATTCTGCAACATGGTGCTATGGGGCTCTCTTCTAAAAGCAATCTTTCACTTTTGCAATTTTGAGGCTGCAAAGGGTAGAGTTCTGCTGCTTCTTGTGACACCCTCAGACCATCTTTTCTATTCTCCTATTCCTTTTCAGCAATCAAGATCTCCTCTGCTCTGCCTTTGCAATCCATAGCTTTATTGGAGCTTCCTTTCTGGCCAAACTCACAATGTTTTAAATCATCCTGCTGGCTCTTTGCTCTTGATTCACAACACAGATCTGGCTAAAGGTCCCCAGCAGCAGCCATGCTACCACCTCAACATTAGACTGCCTTGAAATTTCTTCTACAAGATTAATGAGTCCATGGCCCTTAATCTCAGTCTCAGGCAGTCTCTGGACATGAGCAAAATGCAGGTAATTTTTCTGCTAACCCACAACATAGATCATCTGGAGTCCAGCAGCCAGTGAACTCTTTCTTCCCGACAGAAACCTGAGCCTGGTCGTTACTGGCAGGATTTCTCTCAACCTTTTGATCTTCTAAGGTCTGACCAGAATCTCCCACCCAGTACAGACTAAAGTGTTCCATTTCTACTTTTTCAGCTGGTATCTCTAAACCTTTCCTAACTCTTTTCCCAACAATCCAGTTACAAAGACTCTTGAGCCACATGCCCAGGTAATATCACAGCAATGACTTCTCTGGTATCAAATTCTGTCTTTATTATTTTTCCCTCATTGCTGAGACAAAATACCCAATACCCAAAATTAAAGGGGGAAAGGTTTATTTAGCTCACAGTCTGCAGAGGTTTCAGTTCATTATTGGCTAGCCAAGGCAGGGTGGCACATGGCAGAGGGGCAACCATTCATGGTAGTAGAAGACAGCAAAGGCAACAAGAAAAAGAGAATGAGAGATAGAGAGAGAGACAGAGAGAGAGGGAGAAGGAGAGGAGAGAGAGAGACCAACCTCTTTCTGTCCCTTATGTTGCATGCAGGGTACCTGTCCTAGGGTGGATGTAGCACCTATACCCTTAATCCCAGCACTGGACCATGAATAAATCACTAACTCTAGATTCAACCATCTAGGAAAAGTCTGCATATCAGGACGGGATGAAGGTTTGAGGGGACTAGACACAAATCATAACAGTAATACTGATCTTAGCTACCTTTTAAAATTTACTATTATTTTACCCAGTAAGCAAGTGGACAGAATAAGTTTTACTAAGTGGAAAACCAAAAGAATCTGTGAAAAGAAATATAGTAGACATAGCTCAAGGAAGATATACATTTGGAAGATGTCTCAGAATTTGAAAAGGCAAACTACAGAAGAAATTGTAATGAATTAACCATAATAGCACAATTTGGACACTGGCATTCATAAACATATCTACAGGCCAAACTTTTTAGTAGCCCCAGTAGCCTTGGAAGAATTTCAACATGTTTTAAATATTAAAAATGAGAGATGCCCTCAGAAATTTACATTGTATTAAGTATCTATAATATTAATTCCTAATATAACATTTTCCATTGGATTTAAGTCTTTTCCTCACTTTTTAACTCATTCAAGTGTTCATATCTAGCATTGTACTAAGTCCAATGTGCTATTAAAAATCTCTCCAACTTCCCTGCCTGTGCAGCACAAAAGGATCCTAGGAATTGACAAAAGGAGAGTATTTGCATAGGTGAAAATAAAAAGATTAAGTAAATAAAAGATCCAAAATGAGCACTGTGACATAAGCAAAGAATTGAATATCCACCAGTAAAACTTTTTATAAGGTAATAACTGCATGTATGGTTGAAGACTCAGGCTGGGCAAAGGGAGAAAAAGAGCTTTTATGTTTAGTTACTTACCAGAGTTCTTTAAAGATAATAACTACTATGTATTTATTTTTCCTACACTGTGAACTAAGTTTTGCATATAGCCAAACCTCTTTGAACTTTTTATATATGAAACTAAGTTAGGAACTTTTACTAAACTAGATTTTGAAGACAACTTTCTAGATAGGCTAGAATTTTAAGATCTGACTTTTAAAACCCAAATAGTAACTTACATTTATAAACAGAAATATGTATGAAAAATTCTTTTCCTTCATCTCTTCAGTTGTACTATATAGGTATCTCTCCCTCTGACTTGACAAAATATATAATCCTGAAGAGAGGTGGTTCCCCTATTAGTATGGCTTTCAGTAATCTGAAGCTTCTCAAACTGTGGTATCTAGTCATCTGCCTCAGCATCATCTGAGAACTTGCTAGAAAAGCAAGTTCCAGAACAATGCAATCAGACACACAGGGGGTGAGATCCCACAAACTGAATTTTAAAGTTAATTTTAGCAAGCTCTCGAGGTGATCTTGATATACACCTATGTTGTGAACTACTCTAGAGTATCTAGAGTATCCAGTGACTCAAGGGATAGAATAGAGTTGGAGTGTAAAAGAAGCTTACTATATGCCATTAAATATTTTCACTTATCATTATTAAAGAAATAAACCAAATGCAATATTGAATACACACACACACTGAAATGCTCAAAGTAGTAATAGTCTACTTTGTTAATTTTTACTTTACTTGGGTTTTTTTTCTTAAAATAATAATAGTGAAAATGCAAAAATTGTTTCATTTAAAAATACATGTTTCTCAACAGTCTTGAAAGTAATAATACTAGAAATAACACATTTAGAGAAAGGAAGTACAAATAATGCCTGGCTCTATATGTGTCACTTAATAAACATTACAACAGTAGATATTTACAGTACTACTGTAGAGTAGGTATTTACAGTAATTCTGTTTCAAAAATGAAGAGCCCTGAGCTCTGAGAGGCTGTTCCAGATCACCTAGTAGGTGGCTGGTTAAGTGTAATGCTGCAAATCACTCTTGCTATGAAGTCTTATACTTCATTTATACTTGTTTTTCTCCTAATAATGTCAACTCTTATTTAAAATAATGTAAATAAACTAATCATTTGTAAAATATTTGTGTGAACAAGGCATTATCATGTAGTGACTTATTTACTTGTAATTTAATTTGGCAGGAATAGTAACTCCAGATTCTAACACACAGTTTATCACATAATTGGTAGCTGTTCAATAAATACTTACTGCTTTGAATGTTCAATGTCCTTACCCTGAGCATTTTACTCAGTGAACTTTAGTTACCAGATTAGCTAGCTAACCTTTACTGCCTAGTTTTTCAGAACAGCTTTTTTTATTGATATGGTAAATCACGATTGAAAAAATATTCCTTTAATAAACCATAAAAAATCTAGTTAAACCTCTTTTTAGGAAAGTCCTTTTCAACAACTCTTAAGAGCTGACCAATTCAACATATCACAATCAGATACTAATACACTTTTACTGATGAGAAAATAGCTACTGTAACAAGTTAATTTGTAGGTTCACATATATTAAAAAGGTTGATAGTTAGCCGGTGGTGGTGGTGCATGCCTGTAATCCCAGCATTCGGGAGGCTGAAGCAGGAGAATTGTTGCAAGTTTGAGACCAGCCTGGGCTACAAAGTGAGCTCAAGGCCAGCCTGAACTGCAGAGCGAGACGCTGTCTCAAAAAAAAAGACAACAACAACAACAAAAACAAACAAAAAAAAAAGAAAAAAAGGTTGATAGTAAAAGTAAATTTGCATCTTGGAATTTTCTCCCAGTGTTCTCAAAATGCTAATTCATTTACTAAACGATGTGGCCAATAAAAGAAGAAATAAATAAAGGAAGTGGACTCTATCATGTCAGTTATAAAAATCACTGCACTTTGCTAGGATGTTTTTATAGGAATATTAACTACAGTTTTCATTTCAAAATAAAGAAAAGCCCACTAATTCTCAAATAAAAACTATCTTTCCTGGAACTAAAGTGTAAAGAAATTTCTCACATGAAACATGCAATCATGAACATGTCTCCAACTACAATTAGTAACCATAAAAACTGTTTTCATAAAAACTGATCCACATCTTAGAATTATTGCAATGGAATACTATTACTGTATAACATAGTAAAGGCAATTTGAACTAAAAAGAAATAATCTTCTAGCATGTAATAGCCTTATATACTACAATCACGAAGGTTAATATGTCTTGTTATATCAAACAGCCTTGAAAATATCTGAAGATAGATGTACTCCATCTCCCTTCCCCAGACAAAATATTTCAAATTATTTCAACAGTTTTTCAGATGACATGTCTGTAAATTCCTGTATCACCAAAATTATTCACCTCTAAAATATACACTTATTTGTTAATATCCATTTTAAATGTTGCATAGAGAAATGAATTTATTTTCCAGATCAATTTAAAACTCGTTAAGACTATTAGTTCCATAATTCTGAACAATACACATTAACATAGTTTAAAACTACATTGGTTTTGTCAGTCATATCATATTACTGTTTCACACTGTATCTTTGCCCAAACAATCTTTGCTGTTAAACCCATCCAAAAATAAGGAGTCTGGAGTCTCTACCATTCTATAATTTTTCAAGCTCTAATGATTAAAAGTCAGATTAGTCTCATAATCTACAACTTTGTACTTATTCTTAATTAATTTTAAATTTGTTTTGATCTAATATCTAGCATACAGATTTTTCATATTTTTCACAAAAATTTTTGGCATATTAAATACCCCTCTGGCTTATATGCCATATAGAAAGCTATCTATCTAAATTATTTTTACTTAAGTTATTAATAAAAGCATTGAACAGAACAGGGGAAATGCTTCTGTGTGGGATCACAACAATTCACTATTGGGATCAACTGTCATGTATTTACCAAACTATACCACCATCTAGACCTGCAGATCCACCTTAGTCATAGGCATTAGGGAAAGAATTTATCAAATATACTTTATTCCACATATATTAATTTTATTCCATTCTTTGATAATGAGTTTTACCAGGCAAAATGTCTTATCTCAAGCACTGATAAATCTATCCAATAGACAAATGTGAATTATCTGCATTGCTTATGCCAGCACATTTGCCACCCAAAATAAAACACTACACCATATTTAGTGATCTCCCAGAAGTGCAGTATATATAGTACTCCTCCATATTTGTATGATTTCCTTTATCTATTTCAATACACAAGGTTCAAGAGTAGTTCAACAATTCCCCAAAACAAAATAACTTAGTAAAAATCTAACAAAATATGTATGTGATCCGTACAAAGAAAAACTATAAAATGCTAATGAAAGAAACCAAAGGCAGAACTAAATAAATGGAGAGACTTCTGTGTTCATGGATTGAAAGACTCCACATGGATAAGATGCCAGTTGTTCCCCACTTGATCCAGAAATTAATGCAATCTCAATCAAAAGCCTGGAAAATTATTTTTTTGGTATTGACAAAATAATTTAATGGTCATTTAGAGAGGCTAAAAAAAAAAATCCAGAGTAGCCAATATAATATTAAGGGAGAAGACTTAAAGTTAAAGAACTGACAATATCTGACCTCAAGACTACAAAGTGACAATAACCAAGACAGTGTACTGGCAGATGAAATGACAAAGATCAATAAAACAGAAGAGAGAACCCAGAAGACAACCTAGACTCACATAAATATGGCCAAATTATCAAGGAAGGAGTGAGGGCTAATCAACAGAGTAAACAGTTTTTTTAAAAAGGTACTGAACAAATGGGCATACACAGGAAAAATCTACACCCAGACCTTACTGTACCTTTTGCAAATGAACTCAAAATAAACAGCAGACCTAAATGAAAAACTAAAAAACTCTTACAAGATAATGGAGGCAAAAACTGTTAACTTCAGGCTTGGGGATGACTTTTTAGATATGAAAACAAAGGCACAATTCATGAAAGAAAGAGCTGATAAACTACAGTTCATTAAAATGCAAAATTTTTTCTGTGACAGACACTGTCAAGATAATGAAAAGACAAGCTAGATTGGGAGAAAATACTTTAAAACAAATCTGATAAAGGACCTTCTCCAAAAAAACCCACAAAACTCTCAAAACTCAACAATAAAAACAAACAACCAACTGAACAATGGGTCCATGACTGGCAGACATCACCTCAGAAAATATTGAAATGGCCAATAAATACATGAAAAGGTGCTCTACTTCATGTGTCATCAGGAAATTCAAACAGTGAGGTACCACTAAACGTCTATTACAAGGGCCAAAATTCAGAAAATTGACAATACTAAATATTTACCAAGGATGTGAATTATCATTCCTTGTTGGTTTGAATGCAAAATGTAGCAACTCTGGAAAACAGAACGGTGGTTTCTTACAAACTAAATATACTCCTACCATCTACTAGTGCTTTCACACTCCTAGGCTGAAAATTTGTGTCCACATAAAAACTTACACATACAGGTTTATAACAATTTTATAAACAACTTTTATCCACAATCACCAAAACTTGAACGTTCATCAGTTGTCACAAATATATCACTGTGATGGCAGGTGTTGATAACAGGAATGCCGTGTGTGTGACAACAGGAGGTATGATGAGAAATGTCTATAACCTCTTAATTTAGCTGTGAACCTGAAACTACTTTAAAAAAATAAGGACTTTCAAAAGAATAAGTAGGTTAAGAGTAGATGGCTCCTACAGCATGATACAGTAATCAGTAACCGTTATGACTGCTCTAAGGAAGAATATCTTGCTTACCCAGATGGAACTTTTCCTGATGTTTTAACCGTGCAAACCGTGACTTGAAATGTTCTTCGCAATAGGTGCACTTAAAAGGCTTATCTTGAGAATGCAGAATCATATGTTCCTCCAAGTGTGGTCTTCGAGTAAAAGATTTCTTACAAATCTAAATAAAAATGTATATAAAATATGAGAACCAGAATTAAAAATTAAAGCATAACATTTATAATGACAAAAAAAACACTAAATTCAAATGAATGCAAAAAAGAAATCTCTCCCAAAAATATAACCAAATTCTAATTGTAGGGAGGGAAGGAGCCCTGGCAGAATTACAGTAAGGAATTATTTCAAATTAGTACTAAAGATAACTATTATGGTTTGTGTCTGTGTGTCCCCCCCCCCCCAAAGCCTCATGTGGTCATGGGGCAGGGTTTTAGAGTTTAATTGATTATGAGTGTGACAGCTACACCAGCCCTGGGGTGGGTAGTTTGCATATGTCAGGGAGAGGAAGAAGCTGCTTGGGGCCATTCCTCCCTTGTGTGCTTGTTGCTTTTGCTGTGTTCTGCCGCCATGAGCTGTAGCCCTCTGCCACGTGCCACTCTGCCTTGTAACCTGCCAAGAATGGACCGAAAGTTCCACAAACTGTAGGCGAAATAAACCTTTCCTTCCTTAATTTTGGGCATCAGGTATTTTGTCCCAGCAACGAGAGAAAAGTAACCAAGACAATAACTAAAGCCAGGTGTGGTGGCACATGCCTATAATCCCAGCACTTGTGAGGCTGAGGCAGGATGATTGCTGTGAGTTCAATGCCAGCCTGGGCTATAAAATGAGTTCAAGGTCAGCCTGAACTGCATAGTGAAACTCATTTCAAAAAGACAAAAAAAAACCCATAAATGAATTTCATCTCCTTTTATGTTTAATAGTGCTACAGAATAATCTAGCTTAATTCTAGACAGGAATCTCTTAGTCTGTGAAGTATGTTTAAGCTATTTATATGTCAAAAATAACAGACTACCATTGTTCCCATATATTTGATTGGATATAATTAGCAATCCATCATTTGATGAATTATCAATTCATCATTTTATAGCCAAGGATGATGAAACTCAGTAAGGGGAAAATATTATATAGATTCAAATAATATAAAGTGAACTCCAAGTTATAGAAGCTGAAGTCAGAGAAAGGTTGAGAATATCCCTCTCTCTTTCTCTCCACAGATATAAACTGGAACCGTAAAGGAGATAAGAATGATAAAGCGCATTAAATATTAAACACTATTTGGTTTTCTAATACAAATTACAAATTCTTACGTCACATTTCCAACTTTCACTTTTAGTCTTCTTAATGGAAATAAATTCTTGTGCATTTTCAGGATGAAATCTATCAAAGAAAAGAATACCACAAGGAGAAGATGAAGTCAATGTTCCATATAATCTGTCAGTAATAATTATAAGAATCAGGTACTGATTTCCTTCTTTAAAAGACAGACACGTGGTAAGAACATAGGTATCATCGCCATTTTTAATAAATTTATCAGTATCCCTAAGTTTATGGAGCAATATTTAAATAAAGTTCTAATCATATTTTAAACACATATCAGAACCTAGCCAATATAGATAATGTGCAGTGTTATTCATCAGATTTTTTATATTTCAGATTTCAGTAAATTTTTTCTTTGGAGTTAATCTACAATGTAATATTACATACTGTCTCACAAACTTTTTACACTTTAAATGTAAACTTGCATATAAAAAACAAATTTCCTAGCATTTTAAGATCATGTATTTCTAAACATACACCTGGCAAAACCCAAGACAGAAAATAGGATATTTAAAAATGTGACATATTAAACTATTATAGGGGGCTGGGGATTTAGCTCAGCAGCATAGCACCTGCCTGGCAAGCACAAGGTCATGAGTTCAATTCCCAGTACCAGAAAAAAAAAATAATAGAATAAACTATTATAGACTATATTCTTGTTTCAGTATCAAAAAATTTCATGTCAACAGCAGCAAAAATATGAACAAACTAACATTTGCTGCTCTTAATTTGCAGTCTGCAAAGTGTTAAGCCATGAAAGAATGGTGAATAGGCACTCCACAGATGTTTTTAGTTTACTATGTATATTAGAAGACACAATAAAATAGATTATGGAAGCAAGATAATACTTGCCTCTTTACATGCTTGGCTAAAGTCTTCTTGCTTGCATGAAGTTTATTACAATAAGGGCACTTGTGCTCCTTCTTATGAAATTCTGTTTCACTGCTGTGCTTCTTTCTGTGAACAGTTAGGTTAGACTTTGTTGAGTAGCGCTGGTGACAAATATCACACTCAAAGGGCTTCTCACCTGTGTGCACACGGGTGTGGCTTTCATATTTCCCTATAAAAAGAAAAATTAAGATTAATCATACATTTGCTAAACTGTGACTGAAATTCGACAGTGGAATAAAATGTCACAATTTGGTAAATTTAATATACACTCCAAAATCCACACAAAAGACTAGAAAAAAACTTGACCTAAATTTCTAACTCAGAACAACCTCAAGGACTGCTTTGTGCTTACCGCTCAATATATACTTTTTCTCAAAAACTTGGGTCACTTACAAAAAATTATTCATGTCACACATTTTATTTATGTCACATATAAGATTTGGAAAAGTTTTTTAGAATTCTGTTGGCAAATTCTCTAAATTTAAAACTCTAAAAATTTTAAAACTAGCTTTTAACAAAGTATCTACTCATTATTTTCATAGTTTACTTTTACTATGTACATCCATACATTGAATTGGTAGATCTTTTATAAATACCACAAAGGAAAATAACACACATATATAATATTTTCTTTTTTCTTCTCACAAAAGGTAATTTGGAAAGGGCACTGCAAAGATACAGTACTGATCAGGACATGCACTTCACTCTAACCTATTCTTATAAGACCTCCCCAACTTAAAAGAAACTAGGAACCAAGAAAGTAACTAGTATTTGCAAGCTTAGCAGTAGTCTTCTAAAGTCAATATATATAGTATAAGTATACAGTATAATATAGCAGAAGACAGTGGTGGCGAACCTATGGCACATGTACCTCAACAAGCTGTTTGTCTCATCTCAGCATCACTGGGATAAGAGAAAGCAGGAAAACATGAAGAGGTATAATGGATAGTCAAATATAATGTGAAATTTCCATTATAATCTGTGTATCTAAGTGCTCCATATTCAGAACAGGTTTTACAGTATTTTCAATAGTAATACCCAAGAAAATTTAGCATAGATTTCTCAAAGAGCAAAGTTACAGTGAAAAGATGAAATGCAAAGATATATTTTGAACAGGGTATGACTGTGTAAACTTGTAATACAGTTACTCAGGAGGCTGAAGCAAGAGGACTGCAAGTTTGTAGCCTGCCTGAACAATTTAGCAAGACTCTATCTCAAAAGTAAAAAATAAGGCTAAGGAATGTAGCTCAGTGGTAGGTGCTTGCCTAACATATGGGAAGCCCAAGGTTCAATGCCTAGCACTGGAAAATAAACTGCCTTAAAAAAATTGTTTTACATCATTATTTAGAACATAAACTTCTACATTACAGAGGCAAAAGAACATCACAGATAAACACTTGGGCCCTGGATCCATGCACTAGAATATGAATCTGGCTCTTTAAATGGTAGGTTATGGGGCCTTTGATAAGGAGCCTCTCTCTGCCTCAAATCTTCTTGGCCTGAAAAACTGAGCTAATCATATTTTACAACGTTATAGGAAATCAAGGTATTTTCCTTAAGGTAAGGAGAACCATATCAATTAAAAACAAAGGAAAAAAAAGTTGGACAAAAATCCATGAGGTCTTTACGTGTAGACTATGTAGGTAATGGTAGAATGTAGATCATTTTTTCTTTATGTAAACATGCAGGTAGCCAGAAAACACAGTCAGTTTTTGGACACTTCCTAAACTGTGCAATCTTAAATAAGCTAATAATTCAACCTCTGTGTACTTGAGTTAGTAATACTTCATCAGATTTTGAGAAGTAAATAATGAATACATGACACTATACAAGGTAAGCACTAGTAAGGAACAGTCAGCATTATCACTAGCATACAGATTACTGATCACAGTATGGATATGTAGATATACACATCTCAACTATGAATCAGGATACATCTAATTTATGAATGTCCATTCTAACTGATGTAAGTGGGTTTTCAAGTCTCAGAGAACACTGGAAAGATGTTGCTTTTTCCACTTGCCGCTGCCCACACTGCCTAGGGTATCAGTTTCCTCTCCACCAGTGCTAGAACACACTTTCCCATTAGAACACACATTTCCCAGGGTATTTATTTGTATAAATACCCTGCCTCCATCACTTCCCTGTACTGTGGTCAAGAGATTAGATCTAACACTGGGAAAAGACAGAGGTCACTATGTGAAACTTTAAAAAAAAAGGTTTTCTTTGATTATTAAAGTGTTACATTTCATTTTTTAAAATCACTTTTAAAATTATGTAAATAACACAAACTCATGGCAAACCATGTAAATAAATCAAGAATATAGAGGCTGATTTTTAAATGACCAACAAAGTGATTTCTAGAACTCGCTGATTCTTAACTAGGGTTTAACTGTGAATGTTTGGAACACACTCTCAAGACTGAAAGATAATTCACCAACCTTGTAGTGCTTAAATCTCGTTATTTATTACCAAGTGAACAAGAACAGTAACTTAATAAAAATCTTAAAGGATAAAAGAAATTTTATGTCAATCTTTTATATTCTACAAAAATGCCTTTGCTATAAAGATGCTGTATTAAATACTCAGTAGTATTTTCCTTGTATTTAAGTCTTTTCTTCTTAGCAAATAAAAATTAAGTTATATGCCAGTCAATACTAAAACCATCAAAATGGCAGTTAAATTAAAAATCAAAACCATTCTTCCTCCTAGGCTTCCATTTTCCTACAGGTGGGCAGACATGAAAAGATTTAAGCAAGATAAAGAAAACAGAAATTTAAATTGGAATAACTGAAATTAGACAAAACTGAAGATTTTTTAAAACAATTTTAAATACATTCTGCAAATACACATGGAAGCACAGAAATGTAATTCATTATAACATTAAGAGTCTCAGAAGTGAAAAAAACTTCTCTTGTTATCAATTCAAAGAATATGGCTGTAGTCCTTGCAGCACCTATTATCTCATGGCTTTGAGATTCTGAACAAGAAGAGAAGAGAAAACTCAGAGGAAAGGCTGGATTTAAAAGAGCCAGGGAGACTAGTGGGAGGATAAATGTTTATCACCAAATAAATCTCACATTTAAAGCATTAGTAAGGGTGTATATATGTGGGGGGGTATGCCTCAGTAGAAAAAGTCAGCATCTAGAATAAGTCAATATGTACATCTGTTTCTTCATATTTATGTGGTGGGAAATATAATAATAAACTATAAATCAAAAGGTTCATTTCAAATGTACCAAAGTTTCAATTAAAAAGTAAGTATACTTTCACAGAAGAATACTTATTTCACACTCAAAGCATTTTTGATTGCCAAAAGAAACAACCTAATATTGAGAAATTTCATCCACAATATTTTTGTCAACTAAATACCATTATGAACTGTGTCTCAAATCATTTTCAAACAAATGCATTTGACCTTGTGCCTCAGTATTCCCTCATAGATGTTATGTAAAATTATTATCAGAATTTTATGCACTTTTCCTAAGAGAAACATTATTAAATTTTTTATATATCTGACACTGCTAAATCATAAACTGTACCTTGAATTGATTCATATAGCATACTATAAAGAATATATAACTAAAATATTTAGTCTTACAGTAAGAGAATTATGCCATTGTTATAACTATTCACTAAGCATTAAGTGGCATCTCTGTCAGGCTGGACTAGTACATCTTTTTTAATTTAAAAAAAGGGAGGGCTGTACAAAATATTTTTTACCTCTAGAAGGGATTGTGATTTTAATCCAAGGAAAGATTTTAGTTCTCTGTAGAAAAAATAAAAAAGAAAAATTATCCAAAATTTCTCTCACCCCATCTGTCATCTTATTTTTGTGTTTTTACCAACTAGATTTTTGGTGTAAGGGGAAAGGTCAGGAGATTCTTATTTGCATGAGAATTCACTGATAAAGGACAGCTGGTGGCCTAAGGAAAGAAATAACTGGATTTGGAGTCTCACTTCAACCAACTTTTAAGTACATAGGAAAGGATAAAAGACCCAAAGTAATGGAAATTATTACATTACATATTGCATAGCTAACGATTCAAGTGGGGCTCATCTCTCAAATTTACTCTAAGCCAGGCAAGTTAAAAGCTGATAAGGAAGTGTAACTGGCTTCTTGCAAGTCCAATGTGAAGCAGGACACCATCTTTTCCACTTAGTTCAAGTAAACAAGCACTTACTGAAATTTTATTACAGTACTTAAAATGACCTAGGATATTACCAAGTATACTAATGAAGAGTAAAATGCACAAGCTTCAAGCTCCAAATTTAGTTAGAATTAACAACCAACGAGATAACACCCAAAAATCTGGGTGGACATTTTTAAATCCTATGAAAGGAATGAATGTAGTATGAGGATTGGATGGTAGCTCTTAAACTGCTGAAAAAATACAGGACATTTAAGGTACAGGTTCTATATGTTCTTTTCATTCTACCCACCACCAATCCATATCATCTAACGTTCAACAGTACAACACGATGCTTCACCCTTGTCTCACTTGTCATTCCCAGTGCCACTCATCCTCCTGGTCCTGGAAGGAGCGTGCTTCTCCTGGTCCTTTGCTCTACGCTCCTTGTTGTCCCCTTGGCTTTCTCCACACTGAAGGCAAAGTGATCCTTCTATAATGCCTATAAGCTTCCATTTTTCTTATCAAGTTTTTTTCAACAGTTTCTGCCAGATAATATCTAAAATCCTCTGTATGGCATACAAGCCATTCAAAATCTGACCTCCTCATACTTGCCGATCCTCATCTCCTGTCATTTTCATTAGAATTCCTGGCCTATCTTGAAACCATCCATATTTTAGCAATCTGCAGAACACAACATACCTCAATGCCTTTGTACACTGGTCCTTCTGCCTTGTAAATTCCTATTAAGTCTCAGCTCAAATACTGCTTGCTCTATGAAACATGTTCTGATCTCCACAGTCCCCTGTACTTAACTCGGTAAGGTTATCATTATTATAATATGGTTGTTTTCCAAATGTGCTCATTAAGCTCTAAAATTTTGGAGGACAGAGAATATCATTTCATATTTACTCATGAAAGTGTTAAGAAACTTAGCGACAATAAATGTTTGATTTCTGAATAATAAGAGCAGTTACCATTCCTTGAACAGTTAAATTCTGTGTAATATCTGGAGTGGTTCCCTATCCCATTTATTCTTCTTCATAATCCTCCATGAACAGCACATCAGCACGGTCTCACTTAGAAAACAAAAGCACACAGGCTAAGTCCTGGATTAAAGTCCTGTATTAAAAAAACTCAGGCAGTCTGATATAATTTAGCTTATATTTTTTAATCTGTTTAATATATGATATAGATAAAAGGGAGACAGGGAGATATACTAATGTCATAGAGATAAGGAATTACTAGTAAAAAGCAAGCACCTCTAACAGGGACAAGCATAAGAGAAGAAGTATAATGTAATGTAAAATATATTTTGAAAGTAAACTAGACATGAGCCTACAATGTGACCTACTGATTCCATAACTATCTGGACTTAATCTGGTAAAAGGCATTTTATGGCCTTCCTCATAGTACATCACACCTTAATCTTGAACAATGACTTCTGAACTTGTGTGTGTAAAATTCTAGTTTCCTGGGACACTAAATGAAGTTCTCTGTGAAGGAATGCTAGGTTAAGCAAAATTCATTTTTTAAAAGAAAATATAACAGAATTAATGGATTATGTATTATAATCGTCTTGTGTGTGGGGTGCAGGGCCTTGCATATGCCAGTCAAGTAACAGATCTACCACTGAGCTATACCTTAGCACCTAGTTTTCTTAATCTTACTGGAACCCAGAATTTCTCTCCTTCATAAGCATCTCACAGCCTAGACTCAATGTTCAGTGGGATAATATGAGGTCTATGTGCTGGACCTATAGTGCATGCTCTGGATCTATAGTGCATGCTCTGAACTAACCCCTGTTTAGTCATCTCCAAGTCAAATGAGGTCAGTTAGGGCCGAATACAGGAAGAATGTGGTAAAGGTACAAAGTCTAAGACAGAATCCAGACAGAAAGATGAAGTGTTCTCAGATACTTCAGTGTTTTCTCCTCTCTATATAACCTCATAGTATTTGTTAATAGTTCTAACAGTATTAATTTGCCTGCTTAACAAGTTACTTGGACACATAAGCTCTTGCAGTTGGCTAACCTACAAAAAAAGTTATTTAATTCATATAAAAGCTTCAGTAAAAAAAAAAATTATTGAACTGGATAGTTGAAAGTGTTCTCATTTAGAAATATTCAATAGGCATTTTTTTGTTGTTGTTGTTTTTTTACTTTTTTCCAGCACCAGGAATTGAACTCACGACCTTGCACTTGCCAGGCAGGCACTGTGCCGCTGAGCTAAATCCCCAACCCCTCAATAGGCATTAAAAAAGCAAAATGTTACCACTGTAATGCTGTAGTGCATATTGTCGCATATTCTGATAGCAACTGATTATCAAAAACTTACAAATTTCTACCTATCCCAATAATATAAGTAACTCAACAGTACCACATATGAACATAAACTAAACTGAGTAATTTTACAAGATGAGGCTGCATCTACATTCTATCACTGTATCAGTTAAAATGTAATTCACAATTCCCTAACTTGAATTTACATGTAAAGAGCTTAACTACTGCAATTAAAAGTATATTAGTTTATGTAAGACATTTCTGAAAATTATTTCACTAGTAAATATTACACATCTCAAAACATTGAAAGCTTCAAGTTATAGAACACATCTCTTAGGCTTTTCTAATGGGGAAAAGTTGATTTATTCATTATTAAATAATTAGTACTACTAATTAGGACACTTCCTAAATTATCTACATACAGTACTAAGTTATAGTCAGTACAATTTTGTCCTTCACTACACATTAGTCTAAAACATACCAATTCTAAAAAGTGCTGGACACTAGAAAAGTGATTGTATTTGTAAAATATACACTACTATGCATAAGGAGGAAATAGTACACAAATTATTAAATCTGATATAATCAATGACTCAAAAGTAGCACTTATCTCTGAAGTTAAATTGGTATATACACCAAAGCTGCACATAATTATCAATAGTCTTTCACACCAAATATACGAACTAATGATCTGTCAGTTGTTGGGATACAATGAAGAAAAAGTAAAGTATAATACATTTAATTCCTGAGTCACAACAAATTTAAAAGGAATAAATTGTGTATTGAAACACTGAGTTATCCTCCCTACTTAAGCACTCTTTTAAAGTTACTTTCAAAGTTTAGTTTACATTATCACCTTTAAGATGTAAATCATGAAAGGTAAATCATTAGAGAAAACAAAGCTTTCTTTTCTTACCTATTCGGTCAAATGTTTTATCACATTTAGGACACTGCAATATTTTTTTGTTACTGTTTTGAATGACTACTGGAGTTAACCCTTCATGAATGTTTCCTACAGAATCACCAGCTTCAGGTTCCTCTTCTGCATCATTATCTTTTTCACTTTGTTCTTCCAGGTCAGAATATTCATCTGACATTTCCTCTTCTAGCTCATCTTCTTCGGCATTATATTCACTTCCAGGATCCTCAGAATCATTTCTATCCGACTTTTCCTTCTCAAAACTTTCTTGATTCAAATTGTCTGACCCATCACCACTTTCTTGTTCATCATCACTAGTGTCATCAAACTTAACAGGGCACTTCCGATTCCTTTTTGATCTTCTTGCTGAAAAACTTCTCTCCAGCATTTTTAACCCATGTTTTTTCCCTAATAAGAGGGACCTATGAGTTTTAGCCAAATGATTCTCTAAGGACTTTTTATAACAAAAATGTCTACTACAGAATTTGCACTGATGATTATTTGATAGTCTTCCAGTTAACTCACTTAGTGTTTCTTCTGGTGATGACTTTTCAGTTAGCTCTGACTGAAAAGTGGCAGCATTCTCATTATTTAGTAGCTTTACTGCATCTATAATGTCTAAAAATTTGGCAGCCTCTAAAACGAGAGGTATTTCATATTTGTACACAAAAAATTCTGATGTGTAAAGAAATTCAAGCAAATGCTGAAAGACTGAATGTGTTACGTGATCCAGGGTGACAACATCAGTGCTTGGATTTTTACTCAAACATGCATGAAAATAACTACTGCCAACAGCAACGACTACTTTATGTGCACTAAATTCTTTTCCCTCTACTATGATAAGTAAATCACAGAAAGATGGTTGCTTCTGCCTATCATCATTTAAATACTTCAGCAAATTCTTATTATACTGTAAAGAACTCAAAAGCTTTCTCTGATCCGGAGAGGGAGGAAGTTCCTGGTAACAGTGGAAAGCTTCAGGAGTTGGTCTTTCTGTAGAATGAGTACAGGTCACTTGGTCACACTCCACTGCAACATTTCCTTCTGAAGAATCTTTATGGTAGCCTAGATGGATCTTCTCGTCAAGATCTGAAGTAACCTTTCTCCTTTTCTTCATTGCAGTACAGCAATTTCTGAACAAGAAACTTCATAAGGGTTTTTAAGAGATTTATGAAGGAAAACTAGATTGTCTTGGACAACAGCTTCTGGCGGGGCGTGCCCGAGGGTTTCATGGTCTGCAAAAGTGTAAGAATCATGTAAATTAACTTCCCAGGCGATTCTAAATCAGTCGAGTAATCTGTCAACTTATCCATTCTAAATTATAATTAAATTATGACCAAGTCATAGCCTCAACCGTGGTTAAGATTTTAGGGCTGAGAACAAGGAGGGCCGGGTTAGAAAAGACAGCCAACAAAAGAATAATGTTAAAGGTAGCCAAGCACACCTCTCAGGCCTGATTTACGAACCAGGTGGAATAACTGAGCGGGCACGGGCGGAATCCCCCCAGCATCACTGACAGTGCAGGTTGAGGGGGGCTGTGGTCGTGGTTTAGGGGTGTAGGAGAGTGACAATAAAAGCCGTAGCGGCCGCAAACCAGAGTCTATTAACATGTTTCCCAGGGGCAGACAAGGCACAGTTTTGCCGAGACAGAGCGCGTCCCTCTGCCCAAAACCTCCCGGCGGGACACGGCCAAAGGAGGGGCGCGGACCAAGAGCAGCGGGGTCAACCAGAGGGACGAGTGAAAAAGCCAAAGAGCCTTCCCAGGCCCCGGCTGGGCGGAGAGTGCGCCCCCGACGAGAAACCCGCTACCCTTCCCACCCAGTTTCCCTGGGCAAACGCCCCACAGATCCATTACCGGGAACCCAGGGCTCCCCCGCTGGCTCCCTGCCGCTGAGCTCCACTCTGGGCGCGCTCTCTCCAGCGCCTACCCACTTCCGGGTTCAGCCCCCTCACCCCCTCCCGCAGCTCCTTCCCCGCCCGGAGCCTAGCCGCCTCCGCACCACCGAACACGTCAACCGAGCGCGCAGCCTCCAAGCGGCCCAGAGAGACCGGCGCGCGCCCCCTATGCCGCCGGTGCGCAGGCGCGCGCACTCTTCTGTACGCATGCTCTGTAGCGTCCACTCGCTCCTTTGGGAACCCTGAAGTCCGTTACTCCGGGTTTTCGGAGAGGCTGGGTGGTTCGCAGTGATTGCACCGGAGAAGCTGTGCTGCGAGAGGGGAAAGGGAAAGGGAGAGGGGAGGACTGATGTGGAATTTGGAAGAAATCGGTAGAGGCGCAGTAGCGCGACCGGATTTCATTCTTACTGGTGTATTTAATAATTTGAAATTAACCAAACCCTAACCGCCGGAAGGCGGTCTCAGAGCATACACTGGCAAACACCTAACAAACCCATGCTGATGTCGCCTTGTTATTTTTCTGATGTAACAGCCAAGCTTTTTTTCTTTAAAAAACAAACTTTATTGCACACATCCTAGAAAAAATATAGATGGTAGAAAAGTGTACCAAAACCAAAAGTCCAGATGACAACTTTTAGAGCTAATGGTGTTTTGCATCTCTGAGAGTCCCAAGTGGACAGATACTGCTGGTCACATTTTGGTCCTAGATGCTGTGATTCGGGCATAAGGAAAGTAAAGACCGAATGAAAGAGCGGCCCCACTTCTCCCCTGATCCATTCAGTGCTCCCAAATGCGGCAGGGAACCAAAAAAGACCACCCTCTCAATGGGATTGGGTGATTCTCCTGAAGATAGAAGACTTTTGAGGGCATACCTAAAATTTGCTGAAATACAGGGTCGTGAAGGTACGTTTTAGCTGTAATTAGCAGGCAAATCAGTAGAGGTTGGGTAGATGACCCTCTAGTAATGTGATGGAGCTTATCCCACCAGTTGAAAAACCTCATGAGCAAACCCTCGTGTTTGTCAAGAAACACTTCTCCTTAAGACTTCAACAAAACCTCCCTGAATTTTCAGCCTGTTGTCCAGCAGAATTTGGACCCTGGAACTTCAAGTCTTACCTGCATTTTCAGCCTGTAGACCTATTCTATGGATTTGGGGCTTGCCACCCCTTAAAATCATGCGAACCAATTCCTTCATCTCGCTCTCTGCATCCTATTTCTCAGTCATGTAGCACTAAAGCCAAGACATCTGTACCCCTAAGGTGCCAGAAGTTTTGGCAGGAAAGTTGACGAAGGGAGCAAGGGCCCACAAAACTGAGAACTTAACCAGAAGGTTAAGAAATGGAATCTTCAGACATCAGTATTTCCTTCCAAAGTCTTCCTTTTGATGATCAGTCATAATCTTAATATCCCTTAGCAAGCTGCTTCACAAGTTTATTTGTAAAAGCGTGAATATTTTCCATTTATTCAACTGTATATCTGTTGAACAGGTACTTTGTACCAGGAATGTGAAATTTTTAAAAAACATTTTCAATAGCATCACAAACATGAAATACCTAAGAATGAATCTAACAAGTTACATTCAATTTTTACACACGATTCTCTTCAACAGGATTAGGAAACTATTTTCTCTCAAGGGCCAGATATACTTTGTTTTTTTTTCTCTCCCTTTTTTCAGCGTTTTTAAAAACAATGTTTTAAAGATGCAAAAATATTCTTTGTAAACCATACAAAAGAGAAGCCGTGATTGAAATCTGGCACATCATCATGGTTTTCTGTTGTCCTTTAAAACACATTTCAGGGAAATTAAAGATCTAAGTAACTGAAAAAATAACAAATTGCATTAGTTCCTTTGGGCTGCTATAACAAAATACCACGGACTGAACAATTAAACAACAGAAATTAATTTCTCACAGTTTTGGAAATTCCAAGCCTATGGTGCTGGCATTCAATGTCTGGTGAGGCTTTTTTGCTGTGTGCTCCTGTGGCAGAAGGGATGAAAGCTATCTCCATGTGGTAGATACAGTACAAGGGTAAAGAAAAGAGCACTGAACTACTTCCCTCCAACTATTTATTTTGACTGATCAACTGACAGACTGATTGTTTGTATTGGGAACAAGTTAGGCTTTACTACTAAATGATATTAGTGAGCCCTTTCTTGACAGAGAGGGAGAGGGAGACCTACTTGCTAAATTGCCCAGGCTGGTTTTGAAGTGTCCTCCCTCAGCCTCTCAACTAGAAGGGATTACAGGCATGTGCCACCACATCGGTCCCTCCAGGTCTTTTCTAAGACACATTTGCTCATGAAGGCAAAAACCTCCTAATGATCACTTCTCAAGTTGTGGTCCCACCTCTTAATGCGTCTGGAGGTTTGGTTTAAGCATGTGAATTCTTTTTGGGGGGAATACAACATTTGGACCATAACATATACCATATGTACAGATTAGAATAATCAATATTGTAAGCATGGCTTCAAATTAATGTGTAGAGTTAAAAACATCAACAAATTGTACTTCATTAATATTAATTTTTTTTCCAAAAGCTATTATTAAAAAAATAAAAAGAGAAACTATAGAATGGGAGAAGACATTTGACAAATATGTACCTGGCAAAAACTTTATATGGAGAATATAAAAAACTAATCAATAAGATGAAATATATATGTACTAAAGTAAGCAGAATATTTGAAGAGACACTTTCTGAGAAAAGATGAACACATGGAAAAATCTTATTTTGAATTTGTATCATAATAGAGATATAAATTAGTCAAAATTAGGTACTTCTATACATCTATAATACTAAAAAAATTTTTTTTTGAGATAGGTCTCACCAGCTAGTCCAGACTGGCCTTGAACTCTCTTATGTACCCCAGGCAGGGCCTCACTAAGTAGTCCAGACTAGCCTTGAACTCTTTTGTGTAGGCCAGGCTGGCCTTGAACTCACAGTGATCCCCCTGCCTCAGCCTCCTGAGTGCTGGGATTATAGGTGTGCGCCACCACTGCCAGTTTAAGAAAACCAAAATTATGGGGGAGGATGTAGATCCCCTGAAAAATCTCACACACTTCTTGTGGAACTCTAAACGGCACAAGTACCTTGGAAAATTAGTAATACCAAAAACATCATACTGCTACATACTATACACTTAAACTATTCCCTCTTCATCCAACAGAAATTAATGTTTCCATACAACCTTACATACAAAATATTCATAGTCATTTTGTGTATAAGAACCCAAAACTGAAAACAACCCAAAGAGTTGAATGTCCCAAATGATTCAAATGTCCCAAAACAAATTTCATACTCACATAGTAAAATACTAAGCAATAAAAATAAACTAATGAGAAAGGTAAAACATAAATGTGTCTCAAATAACTATGCTGAGTAAAAGACAAGATATGTACATTTCTACATGATCAAAATTCTAGAAACTGTAAGTTATACTGAGAGAATGCTAATCAATTTATTGTTTGGTAAGGCCAAGGGAGAGGCAGGGAAAAGTGAGAAATTACAAAAAGGTAAAAGGTAACTTTTCTTCATTATTTTGATTATAGTTATGGTTTCACCAGAGTAGACATACGTCATAACTTACCATGCACTTTAAAGGCATATACAATGTTCTATAAGAAACCTAATTAAAGCCATTAAAAATGACACAACAACGAAGGCATTCAGTGAAATACAGGAGAGAAATAGAAAATCCTGGTTTCTGTTTTTTTTTTTTTGTGATACCGGAAATCGAGCTCATGACCTCATGCTTGCAAGGCAGGTGTGGTGCCACTGAGCTATATCCCCAACTGAAATAGAAAATCCTGAAATGGACCCAAATTCACAGACAAATTTGATCTACAAAAAAGATAAAAATTTCAATTCGTGACAGGAAAACAGACTTTCTAGTTAATAAGAATGGAGAATAAAATGGGTATCAGAAGTAAAAAGTTTTACATAAACTTCTTTGTAGATTAATTCCAAATGGATTAAGGGTTTTGATGTAAAAATTGAAACCATAAGAGTACTATAGTAAACAAACATTTTTTCCTATTTTTAGAGATGGTCTTGCTATATAATTCAGGTTGCCCTTGAAATCACTATGTAGCCCAGGCTGGCCTTGAACTCACAGCAATCCTCCTGCCTGAGCCTCTAGAGTACTGGGACTACAGGTGTGCACCTGTAGTGCACCTGTATTTAGAATGTAAAAATTCTAAATAGATTAAAACGAGAAAGGTATCCCTATAAGTTCAAATTCAGAAACAATTAAAGGGAAATTGTTAAATCATCATATAGATTTTTTTCAAACCTTGCATGGAAAAGCAATGATGTATTAAGATTTAACCCTTGTGTTAGGTATGATGGCACACTCCTGTAATCCCAGTACTGTGGGAGGCTGAGGGAAAAGGATCTCAAGTTTGAGCCCAACCTGGCAATTTAATAACTTGGTGAGATTCTACTCAAAATATAATTTTGAAAGAGAGCTGCAAGTGTAGCTCACTGGGAAGGCCCTGGGTTCAGTCCTCATACCTCCCAAACGAAAGATTTGATCCTCAACTTTTGGCTATATTCTTCTTATGTCAACACCTCAATTTATTTTTAGGAGCAAAAGAGAAAAATTGAGGCAATGTTACCATGTTCTGGACCAACTACTTTTTCTAAATGGTTGGTATTGAAAATATTCAGTACACTGAAAAATAGGAGGTATGAACCTCTACAAAGTTAGCGATTGTCAAGGTATAAAAACTGAAAGGATCCCCAAATTGATAACCTCCTGTAACTTTGCCCATTTAATTGAAAATTGTTTACATTAATGGTACACATCAATAAGTAGTGGGCTCTAAATTTAATCTACTGGGACATTGTCACAGTTTGGGGGATATTTGCAAGGAAAACAATATAATACAGAACACATAGTTCATAAGATTATTTACAGTAATCACCCAAAGAATCATATACAAGAGAGTGCAGGAACTCTGTGCATACACTAGAGACCAAGAAATCTAGCTGAAGGCCTGGATCCCACAGAAATGTCCTGCATGAGTCTAGCTGAAGACCTAGA